CCCTAGCCCTAGTTGTTTTCTAACAGTTTAACGGAAGTCACGTGATCTGCTAAAAACATGGCGGATACCATTACACGGAATATATTAAAGAGAAAAGTGATAACAACATCGCATCAGTCTGGAGACTAATTTAACAAGCACCCACAGATGTATTTTATGTTTGCATAGATACTGGAAAAGTTACTTTTAACTGTGTAAGTATATAGATGTCATTATTACTCCTGTCAGCGCTAAGTGTTTTTGTTTGCATGAAGTGACCGAATGAATGATATGATGAATTTGTTGTGTTGTAACTATTGTTAACTTGATGAACTTGTTTTTTTAGACTTGTTTACACTGCAGTGAAGATGTTATTTAGTTAAGGACGGTTAACGCTGTGAAAATATACTTACGCATTTATATCGTACAGTAAAATAACCATAACAGTTATTAAGCTAAACGTATACTGTTAATAATTTAGTGTAATTTGATATAGTATAGTAACCTAATTGTAATTGTCTGCTTTTTATACAGTTAGTGTCGAGTGTAGAGTCCGAGAAAGGAAGTGTCCGAATGAATGATATGATGAATTTGTTGTGTTGTAACTATTGTTAACTTGATGAACTTGTTTTTTTAGACTTGTTTACACTGCAGTGAAGATGTTATTTAGTTAAGGACGGTTAACGCTGTGAAAATATACTTACGCATTTATATCGTACAGTAAAATAACCATAACAGTTATTAAGCTAAACGTATACTGTTAATAATTTAGTGTAATTTGATATAGTATAGTAACCTAATTGTAATTGTCTGCTTTTTATACAGTTAGTGTCGAGTGTAGAGTCCGAGAAAGGAAGTGTCCGAGGATGGAAACTCGGGACACCCATTTCTTATATGTAACTTAGTTGGCTAGTATAGTAAAAAGACATACGCTCCTTATCTAGCTACTTCAGTAAAATTTTTAAAATGCCCTCTACACCAATAAAACCAGCACAGTTAGATAGCTGTAAACAATCTCTTTCCAATGGTACCTCATTTAGGCTTGTATATCATTTCTGAGCTGAGATATGTAGGTTTTTGTGGAGATGATATGTAAGAAACAGCCGCTAAAACTTGTGACCCAGAAACAAGAAGTTTTTTTCTGCGCAACCTACTGCGCAGTTCTGTATCGGCTTTGTTTACATTGGACTGTCATTGAACAAGATGGCAGGCAATGAGACACAGCCACTACCTAGCCACCGTTCAGAAAGAAATTTTATACACAAATGTAAAATTGGACGGAGAATTCAATTATAACTAGCATTACCAGGACGAGTAACAGTTAAAGCCTAAAGCCAACCTCGAATTTACCGCTATTTTCAATCAAACTGATGACTAACAGAAAAACAGAGGACGTCCGGCTGTCGTAGACATGCGCTGTTAATGGGGTTCCCTCCTGCTGTTTTCAGCTATTTATAGCTGGTCCAAATTCCCACCAATGGCAAAATTTCATGAGAGATTTGGACCCGTCCGGAAACCAGCCGAGATTTCCCGAAACAAGTTGCAAACGGTTTCCGGGTAACGGAAATTGCCCAAAAGACCGCCAATTGCCGAAACTGTAGTCGCTATCCTTATCTCAGCTGTATAAAACAGATTTCAGTAGCAGAAAAAGGTAAGTCAGAATAAATAGAGCAGAATTTGGACTCTCATCCGAACTTCTACCCGATATTATGGTGGCCAAGCAAAAAGCCTAAGAGGGCCTCAGTCATGTGTAAAATGCGGACTTTCTGCCAAGGAACAAATCGCGGCAAAACTAGGATTACTTGACTATTTCAAGAGACACCACACTGCAGATGATAGTAGCAGATGATAATAGTGACCGTTGACAATTTCAAGCGTTTCTGCAGACGGTACTAGCAGACGATAATAGCGACCATTGACAATTTCGAGACATGCAACATTACAGATGATAATAGCCACATGGCGGGGAGACCACGGGCTCCGACGCATGTTAAGTGTTGTTTTTGTCCTCACACTTTTCAGCATGCGCAAAATGCAATTAAACTCACCGCCGATAGTATTTCCCGCTCCGGGCATAGCGGCGCGGATGGGGATCTAAACTAGATGCCTGGGACTCACAAGCAAATTCATTTGAGGAAGTTGCATGAGATGCGTTAGCTGTTGCTCGTAGCGGCACCGGAGATACTGTCGGCGGTGCGGCATAGTCACAGAAACAGGTCCGCACTTAACATATCGCTGAGACCTTGTTAGAGCATTTGTTTCGTTATTCGGAGCCGTTCCTAGTTTTACAGCGATTTGTTCCTTGGCAGAAAGTCCGCTTTTACACACGACCGAGGTGCTGTTAGGCTATTTACTTTGCCGCCATAATATCGGGTAGAAGTTCGGAGGAGAGCCAGAATTTGGATAGAAATTGAGCAGTTTTTAGTCAAGCCCATGTCCATGTCTGCTGTGGTCAGGTAGGTAGGTAAGTTGTACCCCACCAGGACATCACACAAGCGATAAACAACTAGTGACGCAAAATGCCACCATGCAGATGAAGATCACCCTTGGAGAGGTCCTGGAAGCCCCCTTGAACCGTCAGACCACATTTAAGGCCCAGTTATATTTAGGGCCCCCCCGGCAAAAGCCAGGTTGGGGCTTCAAATAACTAAAAATTGCATCCCACATGGGGAGGACCCTTACGTTAACTGTGGTCAGTTGTTTTATTATAGTTATATATCTTTTTTTTAGAATACACAGTGCAACTAATAACAAATGGTTATGACATGTTTGTTCTGTTATAATAACATTATGTAAATATAAATATATGAGTTTTAAAATAAGTAATCTTTACTTACAGTTTTACACAGGGATTTGTTTCTTCTAGAAAGCAAGGTGCTGGTACTGCATGCTGTTACATACAGCCAGAAAGAAGCCCTGACTAAACATAGCTAATTTGTTTTCATAATGTAATGGAAAAGAAGATGGACCACAGAAATATGAGAGACACTGAAAAGTACTTTATACGAAGCCCACAGAGAGGCCCATTTCATATATCTTTTTTTGCCACGACGCCGTGAGGTATTCCAGGAGTAGAGAAAAGAAGAAGAACAGAAAAGTGTGAGAAAGCGGACATAATAAATGTAATCTAGTGGTATCACCTTCATATCATTACATCAGTTATTTTATTAAAGATATTATTTGTGTGTGTGAATTGTGCATTTATGTTGAAGACTTTTTGAAATGAAGGAAAGGGGGGGGGGGGGGGGGGTCATCAGCTTGCGTCAGAAGCCACACCTTCAATAATGTATTTTTAGCTAGTTGTTAAGCTGTGTGCTTCATGCTCTGAAGGTCGTTGGTTGGTTTCATGGCTGCACCCTTCAGTTCATGAGTGCAATTTTTCAGATATCCTTGGGGATTGTTACCGGTGATACAGAGTTCTTGCTTTGTGTGGCACTGTTGGCAGGCAGCTAGATGTTCTTTGAAGAGAGACCGAGCCATATCGGATAAAACCCGGTGCGGGGAAGATGATTCTCTGGAATCTTTGATTCTCTGGAATTTTAGCTTGTCTGGCAACTTTAGCATGGAAGATTCACTACTTTGTGGGCCTGTAGTTGTTGGAAACAGTAACTGTCACTTGTTTTATTAACTACCTACCTATTTGCTGAAAGCAAATATTGAAGTACATATACAGCTAATAATATAAAATCATTAACTTATATGAAAATAGCTTGTATGTAAATCGAGTATAAAGATATTCAGTTGCAGAAACTAGACATTGTGATATCATATGCCAGGCTTTGTTGCACCATGTAAGTTCTGGCAGGAAAAAACCACATGCATACAAATTGAGATAATTTATCGCTTCATAATATTTGTGTGTGCATGTGGTTTTTTTCCTGCCAGAACTTTTGCCAATACGGTGTACATGTGCACTGCTAAGTTGTGGAACAGGTTTCAGATGTGTAGGGTTTTAATCACTTTGGGACGTGAGTGCAGGCACTGGCCAGCTAGTGCTACGGAATCAGAAGTTCAACAAATGATTCATGACAATTCCTCCCATTTGATGTGATTGTGTATACAGATTGTGTAAAGCTGTACACACATGCCACCATTGTAACTGACTCACAGAGCATGCTGAGAAAGGTGGAGACAAGCATGCTTCGTGTAGAGCATCACTTCAGAGGTCCTGGGTAGTTAGCATCCTTTGGATATTTTCTGCAGGTTATACTGGTGTGGTGGGAAATGAGCAGGCAGATAGACTGGCCGGTTCTGCATCACTTGGTGATAAACTGATGTATGACAAGCTGGATGTTGTGAGGGCTCTTTGCCCAGGAACAGATAGATCATTACGGTCTGTGGAGAATGGCACTGCGAGGAGTTACAGGGGGATCTGGCTGACGCTCGACACACAGGGGAAAGGCGAGACGGATGTAGAATCAGTCAGTTACTGGTACCATTGGAATTTTAACTCTTCGCTTGCTGCTGAAAATGGGGACGGAGCGCTTATGGGGGTGTCCTGAGTGCTGTTTTGTCGATTCTTAATTCAACATTCAACATATAGATAGGATGATGGATGTTGAAAGCTCCAAACTAAACTCATAGGTGCACTACCTCCACATACTTTAGCAATCAAGTGACTGATTTTGAATTACTTGCAGATAGATGTACGACAGCTCAACAATGAGGTTTATGCATTTCAGCAAGAAAAGTTTGTAATACACCTGACGAGATACAGTGAAATATGCCAAGCAGTAAATTGTGCAGTGTATTGTTTGTGTCTGCATTATTTAAATTTACAATGGGAAAACATTGTTTTGAAAATATTAAAATCACAGAAAATATTGCATTCTGAAGTTGAGGTTTTTTTTTAATGTGTCAGTGAAATCAGGATCCTTTAACTGGATTCCACAGACCACCAAATGAAAACACTGCTTTAGTATGATCTGACCAAACTTACAATGTTTTACCTTAGTCTTAATTATTTTGTTTTTCAGTAATGAAAAAAGATGGACAATTGAAAAGAGTAGAAGTCTGAGAAGATGTCTGTCTGGAAGCGGCTGCAGCGAGTGGGGAAGTCAGCTTCTAAGTACCAGTTCACTGCTTCGTATCAGGAATTGGCTGTTGAGTGCTCTAAGAAATGGTAGGTGGTTAATTCATACACAACTAGGATGGTGAGTTCGAGAGAGTTAAATTGTCAGTTGAAGGTTAGGGGATTTGCTGCCAGATTGCCTGCAGCTGAAAGAAACTTGGCATTTCTGAGTTTTGAACTTCATGCATGAGTCCTAAACCACAAACTCTGATATTAGATGCCAGGAATTCTGTACACATCTAGCTGCAGAGGCTTAATGGTTAGTGTGGGGAGATTCCCAAGATCATGATCTGGGTTCAAACTTCAGAGTTATTTAATTCTTCTTATTATTGTTATAATAATAATACTTTTCTTCTTTTTATTGAGTTCTTGTGTCAGAAGACCTTAAATCAGGAGCCCAGTAGCCTTTGATGAATTTGTCGTGTAGTTCAGATCTCCTTGTGTGCCATACAGCAATGTTTTGATTGAAGCTAGAACGGGCCAGACTGCTTTTCTGTTAACATCATACAGTCTACAGTGTTGGAGTGCATGCGAGTGCATGCTGAGCATTTTCAGTGCCAAGTTGCGGGAAACATCTCCGTCCCTTCCATTCTGATCAATACAGTTCTGTGTTTTGGCTAGCCTTAAAACATGGCCATCAGTTTTCTGCAGTGTCTAGGAAGGAAAGGCAATAAGGAAGGGACTTATCCACACGACCTTGAATTTTATGCCTTAGAATATGGAAGAATGGCATTTCACACCCTAACAGCAGTAATTAATCTGAGGCTGCCTAATTTAATTCTGCACACATGGTGGTACCAAAATACTTTGTGAACACAAAGTCTAAGAGACCGACAAATCAAGAGTTTGTGTTGAAAAAAGTGTATGCTGACTGACTCGGATAAATACCTTTCTGCAAGAACCAAAAGTTTATTCATGTTAAGAGAGTATTCTTCATAAGCAGGTTTGTATTAATTAGGTTTTACTTATTTGATTCGAGCTGGCTGCTACGGTCTAACGGCTAGATGTTTGCCTGCGGTCTAATGGCTAGACGCTTGCCTGCGGTCTAACAGCTAGACGCTCGCCTGCGGTCTAACGGCTGGACGCTTGCCTGCGGTCTAACAGCTAGACGCTTGCCTGCGGTCTAACAGCTGGACGCTTGCCTGCGGTCTAACGGCTGGACGCTCGCCTGCGGTCTAACAACTAGACGCTCGCCTGCGGTCTAACGGCTGGACGCTTGCCTGCGGTCTAACGGCTGGACGCTTGCCTGCGGTCTAATGGCTAGACGCTCGCCTACGGTCTAACAGCTAGACGCTTGCCTGCGGTCTAACGGCTAGATGCTTGCCTGCGGTCTAATGGCTAGACGCTTGCCTGCGGTCTAACGGCTAGACGCTTGCCTGCGGTCTAATGGCTAGACGCTTGCCTGCGGTCTAATGGCTAGACGCTTGCCTGCGGTCTAACGGCTAGACGCTTGCCTGCGGTCTAATGGCTAGATGCTTGCCTGCGGTCTAACGGCTAGATGCTCGCCTGCGGTCTAACGGCTAGATGCTCGCCTGCGGTCTAACGGCTAGACGCTTGCCTGCGGTCTAATGGCTAGACGCTTGCCTGCGGTCTAACGGCTAGTCGCTCGCCTGTGGTCTAACGGCTAGATGCTCACCTAGGGTCTAACGGCTAGACGCTCGCCTGTGGTCTAACGGTTAGACGCTCGCCTGTGGTCTAACGGCTAGACGCTCGCCTGTGGTCTAACGGCTAGACGCTCGCCTGCGGTCTAACGGCTAGACGCTTGCCTGCGGTCTAACGGCTAGACGCTCGCCTGTGGTCTAACGGCTAGATGCTCACCTAGGGTCTAACGGCTAGACGCTCGCCTGTGGTCTAACGGTTAGACGCTCGCCTGTGGTCTAACGGCTAGACGCTCGCCTGTGGTCTAACGGCTAGACGCTCGCCTGCGGTCTAACGGCTAGACGCTCGCCTGCGGTCTAACGGCTAGGCGCTCGCCTGCGGTCTAACGGCTAGACGCTCGCCTGTGGTCTAACGGCTAGACGCTCGCCTGCGGTCTAACGGCTAGACGACTCAGGATATACAGAACATGCGTTAGGACAGTTCTCCTCTTAAAAAACTTAGAAAACAGACAGAAAGATAGAGAGCATGCTAAGAGGTTTTGAGGGAAAACTTTTCAGAAGATTGTTGGGGTTTACATGGGAAGATAAAACCAGCATTTCTAGATTACAGCAAATGACAGACTTAGAAGATATAAATTTAGAAATCAGAAAACGATGATAAAGGTGAATTGGAAACATCCTCAGAATGAAGAAAGAGAGACGGCCTAGACAGGCATTGCAATGGACACCACAAAGAAAGCGAAGAAGAGGCAGGCCCAGAGTCACTTAGAGGTGAACATTTGAGGCTGAACTCAAGGCTATGCTAAGGACAAAACTGGAGATAGAGATGATGGCTCTGGATCGAATTGAGTGGCAGCAGTTTGTCTCTGCTTTAGGTTCCTCTGAATGTGATGAGGATTGATTTAGAATCAATCAAAGAGGTGCAGTTTAGTAGCCATGCGTAAACATAGACTAGAGCAACAATATTGTAGTCTCGTAGAGCTAAAAAATACAGCTTGAGGAGAGAAGGTGTTATAGTAACATTGAAAAATAAAGGGTTAATCAAATGTAAGAATGGGAAAGGACAAGTTAAGAAATGTGTACCATATGTAGTTTAACCATTGAAGGTATGGTGAGTTCCTTGGTACTGAAAGAGTTAATTGATGAAGATGTATTAAATTGAATATCCCTTATCCTGTAGAAAGACAAAAGGCGACACAGACAATACTCTAATGCAGGATCACTGGTAAATAACATATCATCCATATAAGGAGTCTCCATGGCAAAGTGGTTGAGCCCTTTGCCTTATGCTCTTACGGCATGGGTTCATTTCACGGATTTATGTTTGTTTCCTGAGTGTAATTTTTATGAAGCCCTTTGGGGATCATTGCTAAAGCTATCAAGTTCATGTTTTGGATCGAACAAACTTTAAGGGTTAAGAATTGGGCACACAGACCAGTCTAACATTCTGCCCTTCCACTCTGCTCCTTTCATACAATTATTCATTTGTACCCCATAGACAGTGTAAGGCATGTAACTTGCTACTCTACAGAAAGAGAACCAGCCATATGGGATAAAATACTATGTATTGAAATTAGTCGCCTGGATTTTGAATCTTTTATAGCCTCCATATTCTGTGGTTACACAGTTATCAGATAATACAGTGTGTATTAACTCTTTGAGTCCAAGGGGGTTTATCATCACAGGTCCAAGTGGTAGTAAAGAGAGTCGTAAAATCGGCGCATCATGCGTTCATTGGGCTTCTAGGTAGGAACCTATGAACGTATGATGCGTTCCTTGGGACTCAAAGAGTTAAGATGAAGCTTAAAAATCTTCTTCTTCTTCTTCTCTAGTCTTATTCTGCCTTTCAGCATCAGGTTCTATGGAAACCTTGGTGTGTGCGACATAGATGCTGGTATATACTGCCCCACATATTACATCCATCATTTATGTGGCCGACCTCTAGATCTGCTTCCATTGTGTCTAATTGACAGGACTCTCTTTGGTGCGCTGTCTGGTGATTGTCTGAACCGTTTCACCTGTTGTGACTTTATGTAGTTCAGTACTGGTTCCTCCCCGAGTGGGTTCCTGGGCCCTATTATAGGGAAAACAAAAATAGACCCACTGCCAACCCAAAAGCATGTCATAAGAGTCGACTAATTGGGAGCTTCCTCTGAAGTCAGAGTGCATCTGCCTGAGAGGCAAGGAACCAATAGTCTGCATACAGATAAGTCAGATCTGTCAGAAATGGATGTGCACGCAACACTCAGGTTCTAGAACAAAGCTGCAGTCCAGAAGTGGACAAACAATCAGAATTTTCCATCGGAGCTTACAGTCGGTGAAAGTGAAGAAGAAGAAGAAGTGCTGGTTTCCTCCTAACATCATTATTATTTATCTTCTAGGCAACCAAACAAGTTATGTGTTGTGTGGACCAGGAGGAATCGCAGACGAGCAACTCAGGTAGGAGAGACATTGTATTCAATTTGGTTATTATTAAATTATTTTGTATTAATGTTGAAAATTCTACGAGCAATTATATATGAACATGATTACTGACATCAGAAGGAAAATATAAATTGTTTAGTCTCAACATGAGAAAAGGAAAGCTGGAGTACATCGTAATAATGGGAAACATGTAGGGGAAGACCGGCATTGGGAGACCAGTAGATAAGATATTGGACAGTTTGTTATGTTATAGTTTTTTGGGGGCAAAAAGAAAAGGCCGACTGGCCCTTAACCAGCATCAAAGGTGACTAATTAAGTATTTACTGAAATTGAATGTGTTGGGCTGAAAGGTTCAGGTATCACAGCCTAGCTGTAAGCCATATGCAATGTAAAAAAAAAAAGAAGAAGGATGAATTGAACATGTTGTTGTTCGTCCATCAAGTGTGATGAAAACCATTTTTCATCCAAAGTAGTAATGATTAATGATTATGAGTACGAAAGTGGCTGATTTGTCCAATATGACCCCAGAAAGTTCTTGAGCAGTGCGGACAACACGTGAAAGCTGCAGTGTTGGATTAGCAGTACGGTTCTTTCTAGTCTGCCTCTGTTTGTCTGCCTGTGCAACCTCCGCTGCCTGGCTGGCTGATGCACATTGTGCTCCATTCAGAATGGTCTTGTGCAGCAGCCTCCCATGTCGCTGTGTTGTAGCCAAAAATTAAGAGCAGTTTTGAAAGTGTCTTTATAGCGCTTTTTCTGTCCTCCCTGGGACCTCTTCCCTTAAAGATTGATGAGGATGATAATTTGATAAAAGCAACTTCTGCAAGGACTTGGATTTAAGCGAGGAAGAGTTGCTGAATTTGTCAATCTCATTCTCTCGCCTGTGTCCATCTTGATCCATTGGCAGGACAATGTCAAGGCGATTGAAAATGGACCTAGGTGCAGTGGATGACTATGGCATCTTAAGTGCCCTGTTTTGCTTGAAGCTCTCCACAGAGCCTGCTGGGAATTGCCTTTTTGTCCGTTGAACCAGAAAGAGGTTTCGTTCGCACAATCTGCTGAGTCCAGTCTTTGCATGCAGGGTAGGCATATTCTTTGCATGCAGGATAGGCATATCCCAATCACCGAGTGGTTTAGAACCAGGTCTCTCCCGATTTAGCCAGCCCGTCAAAGCTGTTGCCCAGGGATGGCCGCTGTCGCATGCTGACAGCTGCTGGGGATCACAGGAGAAAGCTGAGTGCCACCATTGAGCTAGTTGAACATACTGTACATGTGAAATAGCTTGACTCGACCGACGTGTACAGATCATTTATGCTCTGAATGGAAAGAAAGCATTTGGAAGTCACACTTCACCTCCATCATCTGGATCTACACATCTGGGCATGAAAAGTAATGAAATAATGGACCAGCTGGCAAGCAATTCACCAATGCAGATGGGAAAAGCGTGGACAGAATTGAAATCATCAGCGCTGTAGGGACTGGGTTGTGGGAGTAATGATGAATCACTGATGCTAACACATTTGTTTATTGTTCACCGTTTGTGTGACCTGGGAGTAAAGAGCTAAGTGAAGCACATCTGTGCGTTTTTTAATGCTAAGACAGGAGACACTATAACCAACTTCTCATGGGAACAAGTAGAGGTACTTTGGACTGGCTGATACATCCGAGGACTGGGAACATATGGAGATGCTCAGTGTGCAGGGATGTCGATTGTGATAACATAACATGTACAAGTCAGTGCTGTGTCAGATTCTCGGGCTGGTCCTCAGGGTGAGGAGATCATGACAGTGCTGAAGAGATACTTCTTAACCTGCCTTTGTTCTGATATGTTGCTTATATGTCATTGTTTTTTCTTTTGATAGTAAGTAAAGGACCTTTTTTTCACAACATCGGCATGGTACGCATATTGTGCTAGACATATTGTTATATTCGCTCTTTCCCCGTATGGGTTCTGGGGCCCTATTATGGGGGTGGATGGGAGGGGGGCAAGAATAGACTCACTGCCTTCCCTCCCCAGCAAGCATGTTGTAGGAGTCAGCTAATTGTGGGCTTCTTTTGAAGTTGAAGTGCATCTGCCCGTGCAGCAAGGAACAACCAGCTGCACATACAAAAGCCAGTAAAACGGATATACGTACAAAACTTAGGCCCTGGCACAAAGCCAGAGTCAATATAGAAGAATAGCCAGAAATTCTCTGCCAGAACTTACAGTCAGTGAACAAAGAAGAAGAAGAAGAAGATATTCACACTCCTCTGGTATTGCGGTCAGTATCACACTGGCAGCCTTTATTTCCCAGAACATTTTGTGGCGCCCATTTTAGGCTAGGTCGACTTTGGAGCCAAAATCAATTATAAAAAAATCCATCTTGGTGCAAATTTGAACCCAAGATCTTTGTTCTCATGGGCAAGCACCTAGCCACCGCACATTTTCTTTATGGTTTTAATGTTATCATGTGACCATTACAGGGCACCCCAGCCTTAGATTTCTTTTCTGGCCTTGATATTTAGTTTACATCTATTATTTCCTCTCTCCCAGCCCTATACATGGGAACCGACAATAAAGAACCCATACCTGGGATTGGTCACCTGGTCAGTGCCTGATAATATTGAGATAACGGTCACACTCTTCCGGGATTCTCGGCAACATGATTATGAGGACAAGGAGTGGACATTTACAGTGGAGGATGTGAGTACCTGATTTCAGTGACTTTATATTGGTTGTGGTTTTGGTAATTTACATTTTCATTTTTCAAAGATTGTGATGAAATTGTAAATGAAATGTCATGTAGGTTTTAAGCAGTTATGAGCAGGACATGATAATTCCTTGGGCGAGCCCAGTATCAGAGTCTCTTTATTAGCTCTGCATTTAGGGATGCCTTTTTGGATGGTAAAGAATGCTCATGTTCTGGCCATGCCTTATCTTGGGGGCTGACTGGTAATAAGTGGCCGCTCTCAGCCGGTCTGATGTGGACTAGGAAGCAGAAATGTCTCAGATGAAGGAAGAAGAAGAAGAATGTCATGTCACATCAGATTGTTGGGGAATATTCAGTGTTAATGAGTTAGTTTTTTTTCAATTCCATTTTGTTGTGGTTGTTGTTGCTGCTTGTTTTGTTAATTTGCTGGGACACTGGCAGATTATGGACCACTTTGTTTATGCTAACTGCCTTAGTTTTGTTATTGTGCATATCATAAATCCAGGGCATCTTATCTTTCACCAATATGCAAGGTGTCAGTGATACCCAAGGATCATGGAGAAGTATAACTTCCACAGATATTTTTAAATAAATGGAATAGGGCAATGAACATTAAATTTTATAAAATGACAATTCTTCACTTGTGTGCAAAAAATTCTTTCTGTTAGATGTAACATTTCTTAGCCAGGACATGGCAGACATTAACAATGCTGATTTCCCAAGTCTTGTGTTGTTTATAAAAATAGTTTCTCATTTCCTTATTTGTTTCAGTTTCATGTACATCTTTTTTGTCTTCCTTTTATTTCTGATACACCCCCCCCCCCCCCTTCCCCCCCAGTTTAATTTTTTTGACCCATTTCTTTTGTAGAACATCCTACAATTTTCATGTCTCTCCTGATAGTTTTGATCATTGGCGTAAGTAAAAGTAAGTAAAGGACCCTTTTCCATGCCTTCAGGCCTCTTGGGCAAATAGGGCTAGACCAGTCGACACTTGATGGGTGATGTGGTAAATGTTGCACCATTTGCCTTTACTTTGCAGGACTTGTACCTGTTACCCACACAAGGCTGGGAGCCAAGGTCATTTTAAAAAAAAAAGCACCCGTTCCATCAGGACCCGAACCTGATTGTGCTTGTGATGTCTCAACTTTTTTTTTCAAAACAGAAAATAGCATGATAAGGGACCCTGTTTCTCTCTTCAGGGGTGCTTTGGGCATATGGTGCTACACCTATCTTTTTTTTGTAGACCAGGGTTGTTCAGTTAGTGGCCCGCAGGCTAAATCTGGCCCACGGAAGCTTAGCAAGTGGCCCTCAGATAATTGCCACCTGTGTTGTATTGATAATCTTTGCATGTTTGAGTTCAAGCCTCTGGCCGGCGATGATCCCGATGATGATCCCCATTTTCAGTGTTGTGGCACCTGAGTAAACTTAGTTCAATAACCTTTTTTTTTTTTTGACCAGTTAACACCGTAACAGTGAAATAATATGCATAATTAGCATCTTACCTATGGTATTTCTTCTTCTTCGCCTTCACCAGCTGTACACTCTGGCGGAAAGTTCTGGTTGCTCGTCCACTAGTGAACTGCAGTCCTGATCCAGAACCTGAGTGTTGCGTGTGCATCAGTTTTACAGATCTCATTCTCTTGAATACAGACTGTTGGTTCCTTGTCTCTCCGGCAGATGCACTCCGACTTCAAAGGAAGCTCCCCAATTAGCCGACTCTTACGACATGCTTTTGGGGAGGCAGTGAGTCTATTCTTGTATTCCCCATAGTGGGGCCCCAGAACCCACACAGGGGACCTAGGGTATTTGACGCCCATGTGGGGGGGGGGGGGGGGGCAGCTTTTGTAATTTGCGTTAGCAATTGCTCAGTTTTGGGACTGCTTTTAAAGTATAAATGGGAAACCTGCTTAATGCTTCTGCAGTTAAAATTCAGACGAAAGACGCACATACTGAGTGTAAACTGTTAAAGTGTGTCATTTCCAGGGTAAACTTTGATGGTGTTGTGAATAAATATTTAATTAATGAATAGTGTTATTATCTTTCTGTATGTAAATGGTGCTGATCAGGGGTGTTTGTTGATATTTGTGTAATAAGGCACCTTTCTAACCTTTTTCAGCAAAATGAAACTCACTGTGGTCCCTAAAAAAAAAAACATTAGTTTCCTGGAACCTCAACCCTTCAGGTGGTTTCTAGGGCATCTGCCCTATCTATCATACCCCAGGTTTGCAACTGAGGACTGTGCCAGACACTGTTACTTCCAAAGATATGTCTTGGTACCCTTTTAAGCTTGGTCATTTTGTGAGCCCAAGTTAATTAAGATTTAAAAGAAAAAAAATGTCGTCTTCAGTGAGAATTCAACCCCATGACTACCAGGCAGTCAGGCTAATATGCTGACCGCTGGATTACCAAGGCTACCCCTATCTTTTCTTATGTGAATAGATATTTTAAACTGGTGAATTTTTGGTTCTCAGTGGTCAAAAGGCAGGGGCAAAGTGCTGGCCTCAAAAGCTATAAACATGAAGGACTATGCCAGTCAGGTACCAACCCAGACAACACTCAAGTTGAAAATGAAGCCAGTGAGCAAGAAGATTATCTCAGCAACTTTGGAAGTCACTATATCCTGTGTTTTCATTCGAGAAGGAAAAGCCACGTAAGTGAATGGCATCACCGCTGATGTATTTGGAAATATAAAGAAACTCTTAGGTAAGATCTGTGGATCGGAAGGTCGGGGGGGGGGGGGGGGGGGTGTTGGTGTTGTATCCTGACGGTACTAGTACTGGGTGCTTTGTGGAGTCCTGGTAAGTTAAGGGGCCAGGAATGATGCTGATCGCATCACCCACCAAGTACCGATTGGTCTATAAAATAGAGGTCTAGCCCTATATTGGTATCTGTGGCTTAAGCGTTCTGAACGCGCTTCGTAATCCCGGATGCCATTTTTGATCCCAGCTGGTTTCAACAGTGATACTGAGAGCTGACTGTTCAGAAAACAGTGGCAAGCTACGGAATGTACATTTTTCTAGAAAATCCACAACAGCCAATAAATGATGGGGTTGGTTCTGCAACGTCTTGTAAAGGGTACACAACTAACTAGCCCTTTATACCCAGTACGCCTGAAGGTGTAGAAAGTTTTTTTTACTTAGGTAAGATAAGGTAGTCCCAGATACTGCCATCACCGTGTGGATTCCAAGACCCGATGGGGGAAAGGGGGTGGTGCTCCGCCAATAAGTTTGTCACAAGAGGCAACTAATTATGGGCGTTTCCTTTGAAGTCGGAGTATATCTGCCTGTGAGGTTAGCAGAACAGTACTAAAGCCAAGAAGTGGACGAACAGTCAGAATTTCCCACTGGAGTTTAGCCAGTGAATGCTAAGAAGACAAAGAAGAACAAGAAGAAGATTCTGTCATTGATGTGATGTGTTAGGCTTCACATATTTTTGGTCAAAACATATCAGATGGGGTGGCCAGTTCGTTCCTCGTCACGTTTCCTCTTCAAACAGTTCCCAGTGGTTTGAATCCCAGACCTCCATGTGTGGGTTTCGGGGCTATATTGTGCGGAAAGCAAGAATAGACCCATTGCCCCCCCAACAAACATGTCATAAGAGTCAACTAACTGGTGGCTTCCTTTGAAGTCGAAATGCATCTGCCTGAGAGGCAAGGAACGAAAAGTCTGCATCAACAAAAGTAGATCTGTTAAATTGATTTTCACATAACACTCAGCTTCTGGATCAAGACTAAAGTCCACAGGTGGATGAACAACCTGAATTTTCTGCTGGGGTTTACAGCTGGTGAGCGTGAAGAAGAAGGTTAGAGTTAAAAAAAAAAAGATCAAAAATTGTGTTTGTAACTTAGCAGGTGTTGATTACTGTTTGCTGATTACTGATTTAAGAATCAACATCATAGCACACCGGGCATACCCATAGATGCTCGGTCTCCCGCAACAAATGACATAAGGTGTAGATGCTAACTGTTTCAGTAGCACACTAATTATTCACACGCCGATCTCTTCCTCTCATCCGTCCCTCTTTGCCAGTTCCACACTTAATTCCTCGTTCACACATTCTTGCCCATGTTTAAAAAAAATCTAATCTCGTGTCTTCTGCCAAAAGTCGTTCATATATGGTCTTCAGAATATCTCCCTTGTTCTTCAAATACGAAGGTTCCCGTAGCTTTCGATTTTGTAGCCAGAAAATCCGCTGTCTCATTTCCTCATACTTCCTCATACATTTCCTCTATTCACGTGATTACCTTCAGTGTTGGCGTACTGATGCGTGGTATCCACTCATGCTACATTAGTCCATTTTGAACCTTCTGCAATGCCGACTGAGCATCAGACACAATAATTCCTCTGGTAACTTTGTTTTCTGCTATCCACTTCAGAGCTGCAGTGATTGCCTCCACTTCCATTCTGATGAAGTTGTAGATAAAAAAAAGCTCTCTTTTGTTCTGCCACAGTTTTTCTAGCTGAAAATCCCCAGCCAGATTTTACACCCCGATGAACAGAACCATCAGTGAACACCAATGCATCATCTAGTCCAGCATTTCCATCTGTTCCTCTAATTCTTCCATACTGTTACACCACTCTCTGCATTCTCCTACATTCTCTTCCTAACGTGATAACGACCTGATGGAAACTGCTGTTGTGGGTGTTCGTGCCTGCTATCTTCTTTGCCTCTTGTTTTCTGTTTCTCTGCCTTATTGTTTTATATTATCTACTAAGCATATAATTTTTCTGTTCTCTTATTCAGTGTATTTACTAACATTTACTTTGTATTTAGTCATTTCTGAGTTGTTTTGTGTGCTTTCTGGTATCTTTTTTGCCGACAGTTTTCTTGTGTCTCTAGTCGGTCCTCTTACAGTTGATCTTTTTTATTCCTCCCTAAAGAACGGCTGGCACATTATATTGTAGTTTACAGCTAGGCTGCATTATCTTTGCCTTTCATAGTCTCAGCCTTAGTTGAGGTTTCAAGTTCACTGCAGTTGTGTCACCCCATACTTGCTCTGTACCTGTGAAAATCAAATGGAATGTCCATCACAGATTCATTTGAAAAACTTGTGAACAAACAATTGTCCCGGCACAATCTAGAAATATGCGCACGCAGTAAATGCATGTGGCAGTTGCTAGAGGTGCCATAGCCAACAATCACCACCAGAAATGCAGTTTGTTTTTGATGCAAAAAGCCGGTCAGAATAAATTGGCTACATTCATGTAAAATTATTACATAAGCTATTTCACCAGCGCACACATAAACTGACTACTGGCCATATTGAATACCGTGGCACAAACGCCACACAAGTGAAAGGCATTCCGCATGAAAAACACAGCTCACAGGGCAGCATCAAACACTAAACTCAGTAGCTCAGACAGCGACTCCATACTTTCATCAATATGTGGAAACTGTATTAGCAAAGTGCTGTCGGAAACAAAAATAACTCCGAAGCTAAACAATCTGCCATACCTGATCCTCCATTTAGGACCGGAAGCCTTTCAGCACACCACATCTTATTTTCTTGAATCTATAGTTTTGTTGAGACTGCAATAGCATGAAATCAAACCCTTGATGTGTCACCTTTTACAACATGCCTGTTAAAGGGCAGTATGTTTCTTATTCTTAAAAAAGGGGGGGGGGGGTGCATCTGGAACTCAAACAGGGAATAGTTTCTGATTATTCTAGATATTTTGTCCGTGTGGGTTCTGGAGGAAAACAGAATAGACCCACTGCCTCCCCAAAAAGCATATAGTAAGAGTCGTCTTATTGGGAGCTGCCTTCAAATGCATCTGCCTGAGAGGCAGGGAATAACAATCTGCATAGAAATCAGTCAGATCTGTAAGACAGATGTGCATGTAACACTTAGGTTCTGGAACAGGACTAGAGTTGGGAAGTAGAAGAAAAACCAGAAATCTCCACTGGAGTTTATAGCCAGTAAACATGAAGAAGAAGAAGAATTGAATTGATTTGGAAGTATACACAATTAAGAATAATTTCCCCATTTTATTCTTTCAGAGATGAAGATATGCAGAGTGTGGCCAGTTTAATGAGTATGGGGAAAACGGATATAGGTAACCTAGAAGATCTGGAGGAGCAGGTTGAAAATGATTCCCAAGCAGATGTCAGTCTATCCACTCGCAGTCAGATCAGCGACATCACTGCACAGATGAGTCAGCTCGATGCCCATTTTGGTAATCAATATGAGGACGAAGATGCGGAGCATGATTTCACAAATCCTTTTGGTATTGTTGCTTTTTATGTTCTGGCTTATTTGTGTTTAGTTTGACACATTTTGCACACCATAGTTGATGATTTTGATTAAGAAATATATGACTCTTTCGGTACCAAGTGTTATTAGCTCTTTGATGTGTTTCAAAAACATCATTTTAAATCTTCTGCCATTTTAAATTTAGTCAAAGCATTTATTGCCAATTATAATAAGCTCTTTGATGTGTGCCAATACGTATTTTTACGTTTCTTCTGAATAAAAAAAAATATTTGGCAAAAGCATACTAAATAAGAAAACAAAATTGGGCTTCTTCATTGATAATTTTTAAATCTGTTTAATTAGCCTTACTTTGTGGAATTAAAAAAAAAAATTTATGCTAAGCTCTTGGTATGGACAGGGTCGAGTTATTTAATATAATTTTTAAGAGGAAGTCTTAAATGGTGCGAGTAACTATAGAAGCTGCAGTTAGACATTTGTGATTTATGATTATAAATCTTTAATGTTAAGACTGTCTTGGGTTTTTGGGGTTCCAAATCCATTTCCATCTTTTTAGTGTTGCAAATGCCTCAGCTTTCTTTCATTCTATTTCCCAGCGTCTAATGTTAAAAATCTGTCTCTGATTATTTCATTTCCTTATTTTTTCCTCTTCTCAAGTGTTTGTCTCATGCTTATTTCACTGCCGTACTGTTTTTCCCCCTCTAGTGTCTAGGTAGTTTCTCCGTTTTCTTTCTTTACACCACTTTTTCCCCTCCCTCTGCTTTAGTATTGAAAGAAGCCCTCCGGTTATTTCACTCCTCTCTGAGAGCCAACATTTTTGTTTAACAAGTTTCATTGTTTGCCCTCTTCTCATGAACAGTAAAAGTAAAATAGTAAAGTAAAGATCCCTTTTCACGCCTTTTGGCGCATCGGGCATATGGGCAGAGCGTCCCATATTTTTACAGACCATCAGCACTCTGTGGGTAATGTGGTCAGCATTACGCCGGCTGTCTTTACTTTCACAGGACAGCCCATCCTGGTACCCATTTTAGGCTGGGTCGACCTGCGACGTCCCATACCACGATAAAAATCAGCGCAGCCTGCAGTGGGTTTCGATCGCAGTATGCTGGCTTACAAGTCGGACTCGCAACGCCTTAGCCACGGACGCCGCTTCTCATGAACAACATACCTGTATTTACATTTTGTTTCTTTGTTAAATACAAGGTACCGGAGTCTTATACAGTTAGAATCCTATGGCTACTTTTATTCATCATCTAATAACCATATCCGGTTAATATGTTAATAGGATGGATTACTATTTTAGTCATTGCATTCTTTTATGTTAGTTGTCCATGTATTTATTTGTTTCATTTTTGTTTGCCACTTGTCTTCAACAATATCTTAAAAAATATTTTTGCCACAAAATTGTACAAGTATAATGGCTAAAGCAGGCAAAGGCAAGTTTAAAAGTTTTGCTACTTTAGTGAGTGTAGCACTTCATCACTTTTTTCTTATTTTTTGCTGATTCATTTATGTTCAGGTGCATTTTTATTTCCTTTTAATGTATTCATGCTTAGAACTGTCACATTTTCTGCTTTGTCATATAGCTGTTTAAAAAAAGACATCAGGGGTTAGTTAGTTAGTTAGTTAGTTAGTTAGTTAGTTAGTTAGTTAGTTAGTTAGTTAGTTGGGTTATCATCATTGCACTCCGGACATGTCCATAGGTGCTCAGATCCTCCCCTCAGTATGAATCCCAACGTCCGATGGCTAATAGTACCAGTTCTATGTTGATTAACAAGTCTTCTGACGTGTCCGGTGTGCGTCTCGTTTTTTGCTGTGCCGATCTTGATTCCCAAGTCTGCCATTCTGGCGAGTGATGTGGATTCACTGCCACCAAAGTCCTCTATCCTTCCCATTTCTCTGAGGGCATTGATAATATCAGCATGATCCATAGGCCGACCGTCGGTAGTGATAGCGGATCCAGCCAACCTGTCAGCTCTTTCATTTCCATCGACGCCTGCGTGTCCCGGAACAAAAATAAAGGTGACTCCTCGCACAGTGGACTTCTGAATTGATTCAAGCCATTGTCTTCGCACTGAACCTGCCTGAACCCTCCGGATCATACTCATTGAATCACTGAGTATACATATGCGGGTGTATTTTTGTGTTTCAAGCCAGGCAAACGCTTGCGTCACTGCCATCACCTCCATCGTCATGCTGCTGGTTGTCATGGAGAAGGCGCCGTTGGCTTCTTTGACTGTTCTGCCCGCTGAGCGTGCTGTAAATGCCCATGCGCTTCTTCTTTGGCGTATAACTGATCCGTCTGTATAGATTAGTGCATCTGCTTCGTCTGAATTTTCACCGATGAGAGCGTTGACCTCTGCATTAACAGCAACAGGATTATCTTCTCTACATCGCCTGTTGAGTGTGACAATACAGGAAAATACATCAGGGGTCTTCATGGTGAAGTAGTCATTCCATTTGCTTTATTTATGCTTAGTGCAACACTCTCGTCAAGTACTCTGCCACCCTGAGAAGAGAGACTGAGCCATATGGGATAAAACCCAATACAGTGAAGCCTATTCTCTTCACTGTAACTAAAACAAAAGACAAAAAAAAAAAAAAAAAAAAAAAGTAGTTCCATAGCAAATACTATCATTGGGAAATTAACTACGCTGGTATCTTGGAATTCAAAGGCTTCAAAATCAGAGCAAGTTGGGATTCTAACAACATTCTCAAGTAAATTTAGTCTCAGTATTTGATGGCCGCCTTGAAAACTGAACGCCTGGCACATGCCAGCCATGCGCTGCCATACAGTGGTGCTTATGCTGTGGAAGTCAGCAAAGAGGACGTCATCAGTTAGTGGAGGATCACATGACTGAGCTGGATCACAATGATAGGGCTTTAGCACCTTCATCTAAAGCATACACATTTTTTTTTTAAGCGGAGGAACTTGGAGGGGTGGGGGGATTTAGAAGGATTAACACTGCTGAAATCAAAGACTTTTGACCATGTGGTTGAAAACCTGTTGTTGAGAGGTACCACCCTGATAGAGCCCTAGTTTACAGGTGGTGTGTTAACTTATTCAGTGATAACATTAATATACAATTAAATTAACAAAAAAAAAAAAAAAATTACAAATGGTCATCAACATCAAAGCAGTTTGTTTGGGACGCTGGCTCTCAGCGAAAAAAAAAAAAGAAAAATCAGTGACCCCAAACCCTCTGCGTGGGGTGAAAGACTGATATGAAACACCAGAAGTGATTCCTGATGTTATCATGAAAGGGGACTCACTTTCCAAACAATAATCTCAGGAAATCCCCCTTCCTCCTTCTCCTTCTATGTGCGGTGTCACCATTTTTCATCATGGTATTGTAAATACAATTTTTTTTATAAATAAAAAAATTTTTATTTATATTTTTACTCAAAACTGATCATCATTTGTTTCTAAATTTTTAGTTTTCTGTATTTAGGATATTTTTGGGGGGACCCTGGAACATATTAATTTAGTTTCAATTATTTTCTGTGGGAATCGTTGCCTTGGAATTTGATCACTGTCTCGGAACAGATTATATTAGAATTCTGAGGTACCATTGTATTAGGCTTTCAATGATTCTAGATATGAGTTCTGTTCCTCATCATTTCTCCTCCCCAGTCATTTACCCCAAAATTCTGGAAATTATCTGGTGCCCATTTCTTTTGAGGCTGTGGTAGGTAGGTAGTTGTACCCCATCAGGACAGCACACAAGCGTAAACACCCGATGGCACAAAGTGTCATCATGCGGATGAGGATCACCCATGGATAGGTCTCAGAAACCCCTTTCAGCCATTAGGCCATATCTATGGCTCGGCTATATTCAGGGCCCCCCAGCAAAAGCCAATGTGGGCTTCAAAATACCAAACAATTACATCCCACGAGGGGATGACTTCTGATGATGAGGCTGTGGTGAACATTGATGAGTGAAACTAGAAGTGCTAGACTGGGTTCCATACACAAAATAAAAACGATTGTACAGGGTAGAAAGTAACGGAGGATTTGACCGCGCGCCCTGTGGTTTGTATAAATGATACAGCTAGGTGCTGCTGATGATGATTCCTTGAGATTGGATCAACCCTAGTGCTTTTCTCTTTGGATAAACTCTTGCTGCTTCTGTCAGATCTTTTCTCCAGGCCATGCCGGCATGGTGGGTAATGAACAGGCAGACAGATTGGTTGGATCTGCACCACTGGGTGGTGAATTGATACATGACAAGGCAGATGTGGTCAAGGCCCTTTGGGAACAAGCAATGGAATCAGTAGAGAAAAACGATTACTATTTCCTAGAGAGAATGAGGCACCTGGGTGTAACCAGATGGTCTAGCCGGCTCACCACACTAAGAGGAAAGGCAAGCCAGACTTTTAACCAGAAAGTGACCGACACCATCATTATTGGAACTCTGCACTGGCTGCTAAACATGAGGACAAAGCATGCATGGGAATGCCCTAGTGCAGCTATGTCAGTTCTTGACTCAACTCAACTTAACTTGATGCTTCTGCCGATGGAATCTGAACCACTGAATCAGCAGCAAGCACTTTAACCACTATGCCATAGCTATTATGTAGCTTGTATATCTGTTTCCAGCAAGGCTAACTCGGGCAACAAAGTCATGAATATCTCAGCTATGTTGGTAATAGGCGTGAAGCATTAGTATCTTCAGATAAACTTAGAAAAAGACAAAGTATATCTGTTTAGTTGTGCATTTTACTAGTTTGTTCTGAAGAAACAAACAATCTGCACATTAAACCTCTCATCTGCAATTTTATATTTCAAAAGTAAATTACATTTATTGCACCTGTTGGCAATTCATTGTATGCTTTTTTTTATACTTGCTGTATGTGGTTAGTTTGCAAGTTTATAGAAAAATGTTTTAGTTGGGACTAAAGTCATTCTGCTTGTGTATCCTGAATTTTTTCTGCCTTGTTGAATCATTAACGTTAATTTTTCTATTGTTTCAATTAATTCTCTTGAATCACACTTTGATATATCATTTATTTTTCTTTATGAATGGTGTTATTTTATTTCACTGTCATATTTTTTATTGTAGACAATGAATTAGATGTTTGCCAGTGCTGATAAAATTATAAAATACAAATGTAGGCTGTAGAAACAGTTTTAAAATCATAGCTATAGCCATTCTATCCTGTTCCTCTTTTCTAAACATCAATCAACTACAACTAATTTATTTGTCTGGACTTGTCAGTTGATGTGTTGGAAAATATCCTGAATTTAGGTTTTCCTTTACGCAAAGATTAAATTTTTTCTAAAGAATCTACATAACTTAGAGGTGAGGACAATTTGCTGGCACTGGAAAGGACACTTTGAGAAAACATGATAATGATATCCTTATACTCACAGAGTAAAAGAAATAGAGAATGCATAAAAACAGAAAGAAGAGAAATGGAAGCAGAGATAACTAATGTGGCGAGAGCATGGAGTGAGCTGCAGGATATTGCAAACACTAGTACATCTTAATGGGAGTTAATTGAGGGAATGAGGAGAAAAGGAAGACCTCACACCAAGGTTACCCAACCGTATAACCAAAAGTCAGAAGAATTTAAGACCACTAGCGGCTTTAGACAGGGTGATATTCTGTCACATTACCTATTTATTCTTCAGATGGATAATGTCATCAAGACATGTATGGAGAAGACAAAGAAGTACTCAGTAGGGTACTGGAAGATTAGACTAATCTGTATATCAAAGCTGATTTTTGCAGACGATGTGGCCCTGATAGCTAAATCAGAGGCACATCTTCAAGACACCTAACTTGTCTGGAAGGAAGAGCTTGAGAAGAGAGGGATGACTGTCACTATCTCCAAAACTAAAACCATGATAATCTCAAGAGAGGAGAAGAAACACCGGATCATCTTGGGACGATATGCATTGAAGCAAGCAACTAGTTCAAATACACTGGAGTTTAATAGACTAGAAGGGAATCATTAAGACAGAGCTGGCTACTCCAAAAGCAGCTGCTGAGAGACTTGTCCAAGCCATAAACTGAGGGTTTCATAGCAACAACAACAACAACAAAAATTTACCAAGAAGAGGAAAATGGCTGTTTACCACTCTGCCTATGTGCCAGTCCTGAACCTATGGATGTGAGTCATGGGTAATGAAAACAGCTCACAGAAGCCAGCTTCAGGCCTCAGGAATAAGATATCTGAGAAAGGTGCTCCAAGTTACAAGAAGGGACTAAGTTTCCAATCAGATAATAGGTCAAGATCCTGAAACCCAGGCCTTACAAATTCGAGTGGATCAATCACAGTTACAAATGTTTGGACATATGCACAATTGGAGAGAATCTGCCACCATGGCAGGCATTGGAGGCTAAGAGCCAGGGAACCAGACCTCCAGGGTGACCCAGGGTCTGCTGGAAATACAATATCCACAGTCCCTGACTTACAGAGGACTTGAATGGAACAAAGCCAGAAAGAAAACTGCTGATAGAGAAGTCTGAGCCTCTAAGGTAGAAGAGGAGTGAATGTGTAAGTAAGTAAGTATACCCAATGGTTACCCAACATGACTTACTGACTTTTGTCCCTTGCGGGCTCTTACCTGAAAGTTTGACACCTCTGTGACTCAAAGAATCTGATCTCGATGCCAGTCAAACAAGACAGTCCCAGATACCCTAGTTCATCCTCCTGAGAGGTTATAATTAGGGCACCTAAAATGACTACAAAAAGTACTACTTTAAAAAACCCAGGCTGTCCTGGGTGTGTGAGGAACTAAATGAGATTTCAAATATTTCTGGTGTGCTACCACAGCTTTAAGACCAAACCACCAATCTTCAGTTGTAATGTTATTTCAGTTCGGACATATGGCGGCAACAGTTGGAGAACCACCAGGGATAGGGAACGAGGTTAAATGCATTCCAGAATAAATGTCTGAGAAAAAAAATCATAAACATAAAATGTGATGAATTCATAAAGAGTAAGGAGATCAGAGAAATATCTGAACAAATACCACCTGTATTGACCGCAGTAAGACAAAGAAGATGGAGATATTTTGGCACACTGAGATGAAATGAGCAAAGAATTACAAAAAATTGTTAAACAAATGGTCTGAGAAAAAGAGGACATCCGAGGGAAACATTAGGATGAATATTTTGCAAGAGACAAATAATGATGGGCTGAACTCCATGTCAGAAATCAAGAAAGTTGCATGCAATAGAGGAGAGTATAAGAATAGAATGCCAGCCCTATGAAGGATATTTTGTATGATTTCCACTGACTCAGGGACTTGCTGTTATGGGACAACCCATCTGCAGTCAAGACGGAACCTTGACCAATGACTGTTCAAGTCATGAAGAGGAGCTGAGGTCTTGGGTTCAAGCCCCAATGAAGGGTGGGATTTCTTATGTGGACTTCTCGTAATTTCCTCTAGTCTCTGGGTAGTAAGATCAGATGCATGTGTGTATTCTTGCTCACAAAAAAAAAATCCTTTGGCATTTGGAAATTGAAAAGCATAGCCCTTCAGTGCTGCCCGGGCAAAAATTTGGAGTTAAAAATCTGCCCAAAGTATTTCAGGATTCTGGCCGGTGCAACGGAGTTCGTGCACTGCACTGAGAATCTTCACACTTGGACTTGAGTTAGAAGTAGACTTATGCTTATTTCCATTGCTTGTGTTAATCTCACTAAATAATCATCACTCATATTACATTCACCCCCGTAGAATGATAGTTTTTGTTACATCTTATTCATCCAGTAATTTTATGGTGGTCATTTTGTTGTCAAATATTTATTTTAGACTAAATCCTGCTTATTTACTTGTTGTATTGTTTATTGTTTTACACGTCTGTGTTGTCTGTATATTAGCTGTTCAGATGTGCATTAGCACAAAAAATAAGTGGAGGAGAGGCACCACATTTCATGCCATGAACCATATTGGGTATAAACAGTTAGTTGCATCTCCTTTACATGCGGTTGCAGAAGCAGGCACAGCATTTTTATTGTTGTTGTTGTTGCTTTTGTAGTTTTCTTGGCAAATTTACATTTAGGAGATTGCCATTGCTCTCTGAAGGGTTGACTGTTGATACCACTGTCGAAGCCAGCGCAGCACAGTCTCCTGCCAAATCACCTGCAACTGGGATTGAACCCGGCATTACAAAGCACGTTCATAATGACTGAGCAGCAGACACTGACATATTAAATATGCAGTATATACATTTCCCTGTGTGGATTCCTGGGCCCCTTGTGGGCGAAAATAGAAAAGACTCATTGTCCCCTTAACATGCTTGTCCTAAAGGCGACTAACTAGGACTGTTTCCTTTGAAAGACAGAGTTCATCTACCCAAGAAATAAGGAACCAACAATCTGCAAACAAATAAATCAGATCTGTAAAACAGATGCGCACACAAAATGGTCTGGAACAAGACTAATGTCCAGAAGTGGGCGAACAGCCACAGCTTTCTGCAGGATTTTACAGCTGATGAACACGAAGAAGAAAAGTATGTAAAGAGCCTTAAAGGACCCTTTTTTCTGTCTTTAAGCTTATCACGTCTTTGGTGGCAATTCCTTTCTTTTATAAAATATTTGGCATGGATGGGTGATGTGGTCAGTATTACATGTCAATTACACCTTGTGTATACATTTTTGTGTGTGTATGCATAAATTTCCATATATTTATCCCACGTGTGCATTTCACCAAGAATTGTTTTGGGCATTTTTTTTTTTTTTTTACAAAAGCATGCACCATAAAGTTAGTTTTATAGGATGTTGAACAACTCACCCGAGCATTTTTCGGCTGTTAGGTTGTCTAGGCAATTTATGTTCAACAGTTTGTTGCTGCTTTCTGGTCAGTTAGCTCTGGATATGTTTTTTTAGGCAAATTTATGTTCCGTAGTTTGTCATTGCTTTCTGGACAGTTAGCTCTCGATATATGTTTTTCTAGGCAAATTTATGTTCAGTAGTTTGTCATTGCTTTCTGGTCAGTTAGCTCTCGATATATGTTTTCTAGGCAAATTTATGTTCAGTAGTCATTATTTTCTGGTCAGTTAGCTCTCGATGTAGGTTTTTCTTGGCAAATTTATGTCCAATAGTTTGTGATTGCTTTCTGGACAGTTGATACTACTGTCGAAACCAACGCAAGGCACCTTGCTGCCAAATTGCTTGCAACTGGGATCAAGCCTGGCACATTGGTATTACGAAGTGCATTTGCAACGCCTAAGCTGCAGACACTGACGGCATGCACCGTACACTTTGTTTAACAGTTGATAGATGTTTACTGTGTTGTTGTATGTGTGTGTGTGTGTGTGTATATATATATATATATATATATATATATATATATATATATATATATATATATATATATATATATATATATATATATATATCTGTGACAAAAAAAAAATAAGAAAACGTATGAGATTTCCTCTAACTCAGCATTGAATTGTTGTTCTACAGTTAATTTTAACCATAACTGAACATTGAATGATTATCCTACAAATAGATTTACCTTTAACTTAACAAAAAGTTATTCTAAACTAAACACTGGGTTGTTATCCTAGATAAGTAAACGCTGGATAGCTAACCTACAGGTAATGTTGCTTTTAACTAAATGTAGAATCATTATCTAACAAATAGTGTTACTGTGAATTAGAGTTGCTATACATATACAGTTTTATCCTTAACAGTGAGTCATTATTCTATTATAGTTTTATCATTTAACTGAAAACTGAGTTGTCCTAACGATAATTTTACCTTTAACTAAATGCTGTATTATTATTCTACATATAGTTTTACCCATAACTAAACATTGATCTTATCTTACAGATAGTTTGATCTTGGATAAACAGGGGGGATGTTGTCGTAAATTTACGGTTTCTGATAACTAAACACTGAGTTTTTATCCCACAGATAATTTTTACCATTGTCCGAACTGAAATGTTATCATTTTTTGTTCTCTTTTCTTGTTCAGCTGATGATGTACATGACAAGGATCAGTCAAAGATTTCTGTAGAAAGTTCAAACCCATTTGGAGGTGAGGAAGACGAAGCAAATGATGATATTGGGGCTGCATTTGAAACCTACCAGAAAACCACAGCAAAAGCTTCAACGCCTGTTGCAAGCAGTCCTTTTGAAAATGGTGGAGATAAAAAGCCTTTTGAGAATTCAGACAAGAAGCCTTCATCCCCTGCAAGAACATCACCAAAGAAAGATAAGTTAGCAAATAAACCTGAACCTATATCCAGTACTAGAGAGAGGGAAGCCCAGCATATGAGTAAGTCAGCAACTCTGCCAGCCAACTTATCCAACAGTGGCGGCGCCAGTCCTGCAGCGGACAACAGGAGTAAAAGACTGACCTTGAACATTCATCAGTCCAGATCGTCAACAGAGCGACCCATTTATGAAGGAACGCCGCCAGTGACCCCAGAATATGAGAAGAAAGTTATCATCAGACCAATAACTCCACCTATTGAAGGCACTGCTAACAAGTAAGTTGGCTAAGTTGTTGTTACTACGGACAAACGTCTTGGGTTCAAATCCACATTGTCAGATTTGTTTCTCAAACATTTACCTAATACCTAGCTGCCAGGTTGACCCAGCCTAAAATGATTACCAGGTAACGCCCTGGGAAGTAAAGGTGACCGGTATGATTTTGACTACATCTCCCAAAGAGTGCCAGTAGGTGTCTAAAAATATTAGTCCAGCATCAAATACCTGATTTATTTGTACCTTACTAGCATCTGGAAACAGTTATTTAATGACAGATAGATAATTAGTGGACAGCATTAGATGTGCTTGCTTTTGTGTGTTTGGGAGTCTCCATGGGGAAGTGGTCAGGCCATTTGCCTGTGCTTCGGAGGTCACGGGTTTGTTTCACGGCGGCATTGTTCAGTTCGCGAGCACAGTTTATTACGGGGATCCCTGGGGATTGTCGCCGGAGCTATGCGGGTCGTACTCAGTGTGACGCTCTCGGCAGTCAGCTGGCTGTTCTGAGGAGAGAGACTGAGCCAAATGGGATAAAACCCTGTGCAATGGAGTCGATCCTCTCACCTTCACCTTTACCTTGACTTTGGTCCATTGTGTCCCTGTGTGGGTTCTGGAACCCCATTTTTGAGGGCTAAAAAAGAATAGGCCCACTGCCTCGCTAACAAGCATGTTGTAAAAGTTGACTATTTGGTGAATGTTTCCTCCAGAGTTGGAGCACATCTGCTTGAGAGATAAGGAACCAACAGTTTGCATACACATAAGCCAGATCTGTTAAACAGATGTGCACAGAAATGGTCTGGAACAAGACTAAAGTCTAGAAGTAGATAACTGCCATAGCTTCCATGAGTTTACAGCCAGTGAATGCTAAGAAAATTAGTTTCTTATGTGGAAATCTGTGCATGGTGTTCGTAATGAAAGTTTATTATGTGTTCTTCATTTTGATATTTAAATTCTTTTTGTTTCAGCATTAGCCTGCCATCATTTGCAAGCCCTGGTTCAGTTTCATTGAACTCTAGTCAGGTAAGTGATGTTGACCCATCTTCGCTAAAGCAGACGAGGTTGAGAGTGAATTGATTAAAATGTGTTGGTTACAGTTTACAGCTGGTGAACGTGAAGAAGAAGAAGAAAAAAATAGTTTGAATATCTTTTTATAATACAGCATATTAGATGAATATAGATTGACAGCATTAAGGACATTGCTAATTTACATGGGATGTCAGTAACCAGGATTATCTATTGAGCGTGAATGTGGTCGATCATAAAAGAGTTGAGCCTGTGGATCATGTCAGTATTGTTGATTTCCTCGGAGAGAGAATTTCGGAGGCAGCATCTACATTGCTGCTAAGAATGCAGTAATTGAGAGTAAAGATCAGCACATCAGGGATGAGAGGCACACTAGATGTACAAGAAGTCTTGTCAACCAGGAAGGACTGGCACAGTTAACAGGACACTGATGTATATGTTGAGTAAGAAATCTGATCTCCTAGAGATGTGTTTGAAGTGCCATGAAAATATCCCAACTCATAACTCATGACTTTTTGAGCACTGAAATATAAATGATTCTTCTCCATTACTCTTGACAGCAGAAAGGTAATATGATGATGGTATAATGGTGGATCTTTAACATAAATTTATTCCTAAAATTCACTGATACTGTTTAAAAATATTCCATCTGATAATAACTTACAGATTGAAACATCACCAACCTCCAGTAGTCCAATGGATGAATTAATTACCTGGTGTCGCAAAGTCACTGAAGGCTACAGAGGTGTCAAAGTGACCAATTTAACAACATCGTGGAGAAATGGTCTGGCTTTCTGTGCCATCATACACCACTTTAGGCCTGAGCTCATGTAAGTATTTTATAATACAACGTATTCTTGCACATCTTCAGCCTGGGGAGTTGATTTTTTTACTTTTATTACTTTCTCTTTGCAAAAACTATAGAGGTCCTGTTTGAAGTCAAATCATAGAAGAAAAGTAGTTGAGTAAGTCTTGACTTACCAATGTAAGTTGGGAAGAAACATGTATAGAGCTGACATAATCAACACTGTATGGACTAGACTTCAAATGTCTGATTGTAAAATGTCATGCCACAATGTGCTGAGTGTCCCTTTGCCACAATGTGCAGAAAACAGATTGTGCCCATTTGTGTGGTCATTGAAGTCCCGGACTTGTGACCTGCTTCTTGTTGATCTCCAAAGGGTGCAGCCCATGAAAATGGATGGGAAGCTCAACATACAGATGTGAGGTTAAGCGAGAGAGTGTGCTGGATGTGATGATTCCTTAGATGAGCCCAGGACTGTTGAATCAAGAATCGACATCACAGCACTCGGGACACCCTCATAAGTGCTCCGTCCCCATCTTCAGCAGAGAAGAGTTGAAATTCCGATGGCACCAGTAACTTTCTGATTGTATATCCTTGTCATCTTTCCCCTTAAGTGTTGAGCGTCGGCCAGATCCCCTTGTAACTCCTCGCAGTGCCATTCTCCTTAGACCGTAATGATCTATTTGATCCTCGGCACTGTTCACTCGCTCCCTAAGGGCCCTCACAACATCCAGCTTGTCATACATCAGTTCACCACCAAGTGGTGCAGAACCAGCCATTCTATCTGCCTACTCATTTCCCAACACACTGGCATACCCGGAGAAAAGATAACAAAATGGGGAAGCAGAAAAACTTGCACAAAAACAACAAAAATCAACGTTTCAGCCAAAGCCTTTCTTGACATGAACTAACTACACAACAATATCAATGGGAAGAGTACTCTAACCACCAGGCCAACCAGGGGGTCAGGTGCAAAACTATAAAAAGGTGATGTGGAATGAATACAATAAAATAAATAAAATAAAATAAAATAAAGGAAAGACTCAAAAATAGTCATAAAAGTAATAGTGATAATGTAAAATAATAGTAGGAAAAAAATTAATAGAAATACAAATGTTAATAATAGATAACTGGTACTGATAATAGATTTTTTGTTTCTGGACATGGGCTGATTATCATGTGACCAGAGCTGAAACAAAGACCAAGCTGTATATTTACATACATGTCTTTTTTGTATCAGCTCCAGTACACCCTGTCTCTTGATCTGGTTTTATTCTCTTAGACGGCTGACATTATCTTCCACTGGTAACGCTGCCTGCTGAAAAAATGGTTACACCTTTTAGTGAGGCCAAAATAGTATATCTTTAAAAAAAACATTTCTTTAATTGATTTTTTTCCCAGTCACTTCAGAACCTCTTGCTACATTATATTTGTGTGCTTTTTTTCACTAGAAATTTCCAGAAGCTTAATCCACACGACATCAAGGGCAACAATAAAATGGTAAGTGACTCGTCATGTGTTTTCAAAACAAATTTCTCAAGCTAAAAACAGTGAGACTATTAAGAATAAGTTAAAAGTTAATGTTGCAAGTTAAATAAGATATTTTCATATTATTGTTGCTGCAACATGAGTGGGTGGTTCGGAGGTTGGGAACCTGGCCTTCAGTCAGTCAGTAGCATGTCCTTTGCAGAACCTTGCACCCATAACAATCCCCCGGAAAACTTCTCGATCACAAGCAAGATGTCCCGTGTCCGATACAACCATCTGGAGATCATCACCCACATCCTGCACCCATCTTCTCATTGGCTTTTCTCTTCTTCTCTTCTCATGCATATACCTCTCCATTTTTGTTCTCTCCAAACTTTTGTGACATTTCAAGTGACCAAAATATTTCAGTTTTCTGTGTTTTATCGTCTTTAATAGTCAGCCTTCTTCAGTATTCAGTTCTTGAAGTTTGGATGCATTTGTTCTTTTCTTTACCCATGATATTCTTAGAATCTGTCTATAACATTTGTATTCAAAGGCATTTATGTACTTTTCAGCTTGTTTAGTAAGTGTCCAGCAGGTCTCACAGGCATATGTTGCAGTGGGAAAGATGCATGCTCTTAGAAATATAATTTTTTTTAGTTCTGGCCTTACACTTCAGAAAACCCAAGCTACTTGTAAAATAAGGAAGGTTTTCTCTCTGAGATGTGAAATAAGAATTCTGAGCATTTTCTAGGCATTGTGACTGCTTGGCCAATCCCCTTTAAAAATTAACCTGGGAAAGTCTTTCTCGCAAACATCTCAAAGAGTGTATTTATGTGTTACATTTTTTATAAGCTGTACTTACTGCTGTGAGGTGAGAATAAAAATTGTGCTTGCTGCAGTATGAGATTGTTACAAGTTGTGCTTACTGTGGTGCGAGATTGTTACAAATTATATTTATTACTGTATGAGATTGTTACAAGTTGTACTTACTGCCATGTGTGTAATTGTTACAGGATGTACTTACTCCTCTGTGTGTGATTGTTACAAGTTGAACTTGCTGCTGTGTGTGATTGTTACAAGCTGTATTTACTGCTGTGTGTGTGAATGTTACAAATTATATTTATTGTTTTCTGAGATTATTACAAGTTGTACTTACTGCTGGGTGTGATTGTTACAAGTTGTCACACATAAAAAAACATCTTGTGAGATATGCTGAAGGGATCAGAATAAGGTTGGGTTATTCTGCATTATGTAAACAAAAGGATCATGTGGTTTATCTAAGTCTGCCATGGTGAGATGCACAGGGTAACAATGGACTGTATTTTAGTTTTTATTTGTGCTTTATTATATGTTGCAATAAATTCTGTAGAATGCCCAGACAAGATACTGAAAAATATGCCAGGCAATAAATTGTTCCATTTATTGTTTGTGTCCTCAGTTTTTAAAGCATTGATTTTCAACCTGAAAATGGGGGGTTGGGGGAGGGGTGGGGATGCACATAGGTGTTTAAAAGGGGCGTCAAGTCATTTTGAAACTGAATGCATTTTTACTTGAGTTTAGTCAAGAATTGACAACACAGCAGTTGGGGCATTCCCATGTGTGCTCCATCCTTATCTTCAGCAGCCAGCGCAGAGTTCTAATACTGATGGTACCGGTCACAATCTGGTTATATGTCCCTCTTGCCTTTCCTCTGAGTGTAGTGAGCGGCCAAATCCTGTGGTTACTGCATTTGTTCTTATAAATTATCTGTTATGCTATTTTTTCCAGTGTAATTATAAATTAACATTCAGCAGTCATAAGAACAAAACAGGGCTAGCAGTTTTATGTGGAGAGTTATTTCCATTATGTCTTGCTCAAGATCAGACCAGAAATAGCAGATGTATCTTCAAGACCAAAATATTTGTCAACATCACATTGATGGTTTTTTGGACACTAAATTACTACTTGTTGGTGATTGTTATGGGGCTGCATGGTCGTCTTGAGGTATGGTGTCCGCCTCATGTGCTAGGCCCCGGTGAGGGCTGGGATTTTTTCACCTAGACTTCTAGTAGTTTCCCCTGGTCTCTGTGTAGTGAAATCTGACGCCAGTATGTATTTTTGCGCACATAAAAAATCCCAGGTGGTAGGTGGAAATAGAAGAGAATAGCCTAACTGTGCTGCCTGGGCAAAATTTTGAGTTAAAAATCTACACAAAATATTTCAGGATCCTCGCCGGTGCTACAGAGCCCGTGCACTGCGCTGAGCTACTTCGGACTCAGACTTGAGTTCGAAATAGAACGGAGCATTTATGGTTCACCATCCGTGTGCCATGATGTTGATGCTGCTCTTTCATGTTATTTTACATTTAGGTTTATGTGGATATTTTTCTCCAAGTTCTCCAGGTGCTGGGGATTTTGCTTTTTGTCCTCCTCTTTTTAGTCACGTTTGTCTTAAATTTGTGATGCGTGGGGGGCGGGGGGGGGTTCTTGCCAAATATTCAAGGTTGCACCACCTGAAAAAGATTGAAAACAACTGATTTAAAGTCATAGAGTAAATAACATTGTTTTAAAATTTTGTTTTGGTTATGAGCTTTGTTTCAGGCATTGTAGATAATTTACCTGTAGTTGTTAATGTTTCTGTTCAGGTGAGTATAGATTCTTTGCTGATTGTTTAAAAGGATATTTATTGCTGTGTGCGATTATTACATAACAAGTTGTAATTGCTCTGGGTGCGATTGTTACATAACAAGTTGTAATTGCTCTGGGTGTGATTGTTACAACTTGTTATTAGTAGACACTGTTTCTGTTTGTGATCAGGTGAGTGTAGATTCTTTGCTGATATGTTTCAGAAAGCTTGCAACAGATTATTTGGACATTGTTTTTGCAGGCTTTTGATGCAGCAGCCAAACTGGGGATACCAAAACTACTGGAACCTGCAGATATGGTCCTTTTAGCCGTCCCAGATAAGTTGTGTGTCATGACCTACCTCCATCAGCTGAGGTCCTACTTCACAGGCCAGACCCTCGCTCTCCAACAGATTGGGCCTAGTACTAATGAGAGTACTTACACCTTAGGTCAGTTACACTTTTGTTTGGTTTTGACCTATTTTGATTATCTTTGTGTTTTTTTGTGACTTCAAGAACTGAATAGTGGAGAAGGTTGGCTATTAAAGATATAAAACACAGAAAATTGATATATTTTGGTCACTTGAAACGTCACAAAAGTTTAGAGAGAACAGTAATAGAGGGGTATATGCCTGGGAAAAGTCGAAGAGGAAGGCCAAAGAGAAAATGGGTGCAGGATGTGGCAGATGATCTCCAGATGGTTGTATCGGACGTGGGACATCTTGCTTGTGATCGAGAAGTTTTCTGGAGGTTTATTATAGGAGCAAGGTTCTGCAAAGGACATGCTACTGACTGACTGACTGACTTATGTTTGTTAGATTTGTTTTCAATCAGGTTTGTATTTTATTTTAGTTTTTATTTATTTTTTAAAGATTATTTTCCCACTATGTATCTCATGTCTCTTTCATTTTCCCAGCATGTCTCTCACATGTTCCAACTGGGTTTCTTACACCTTTCCACTATATATGTGACATTTGACTGTATATCTCTCACTTGACCAGTATGTATCTCAACTTGACTAATATATATCTCACACTTTTCCACTATATTTCTCACACTTTCCCACTGTGTGTGTCATATTTTGAACTATATATCCCACACTTGACCCCTATGTCTCTCACTTTCTCACTATGTATCTCACATGTTCTCACTGTTTTTCACATTTTCCTGATGTGTATCTCACACTTTTCCCTGTGTCTCTCAGTCTTGCTTTACTGTTACTGACTCACTGTTTCACTGTCTTTCTAACAATTTCTCTTATTGTCTGTTGCTCTCTCTTTGACTGTCTCACTCAGTGTTCACTGTCTTTTGCATTGTCTCTCTCACTGTTTCTGACTGTTATGATTGTTACAGTGAGATTATCACACGCTGTGTCAGTCTCACTCGCAGTCTCTGTTTCCATCACTGACTCGCAATATTTCTGTCATTACACTTATTCTGTCATTACACTATATATTAATCTCAAAGTTCTCTGTGCGGGTCCCTGAGCTGGAAGGGGGGGGGGGGGGGGGGGATAGACACACTTTCCCATGTCAAGAAAGTCAACTAATTAGGGGTGTTTCTGTCAAAAGTCAGAGTACATCTGCTTGAGAAAACCAACAGTCTGCACACAAATAAGCCAGATCTGTGAAACAGATGTACATGCAAAACTCATGTTCTGGATAAAACTGAAGTTCAGAAGTGAAAAAACAACCAGAAGTTTCTGCCGCAGTTAGCAGCTGGTGAACACTTAGAAAAAGCAGAACCTCGCAATCTCACTCTGATATTGTTGTGGTCCCTCATGATCTATATCATTGTCAGTGCTCCTCTCTGTTTCTTTATCTGCATCTCCCTTATTGACCTATTTGCCTTATTGTGATTACAGAAGAGCGCGATGAAGAAGACGAGGAAAGAGTATCAGCAGAAATGTACGGACACAAAGCCCCTGTTCGAAAATCCTCAACATCATCGTCATCATTGTCATCTAAACTCAGAAAATCCATCTCAGATGCACAGGATCTAGCACCCTTGTCAAGTCAGCAGAACTCACAGCAGCAGCAGCAGCAACCAGAACTGGCAACCAAGAAATCCAAGGCCCCACCTGCCCCTCCCACCCAAACATCCAGTCCCAACAGTAATCTTAGTGCAGAAAGTCCAGCTTCTGTTGCCACAGCTTCTGCTGCTGGTGAAAAAACAAATGTGCCGCAAGCAGGAAGACATTATGAAAAGAATAAAAAGAGGCGAGCCCCAAGTCCACCTCGCAGCATTCAGGACAAGAAATTAGCAGCTGAGAATGAATCTCTTAATCCTTTTGGTTCAGATGAGGAGGAGCAGGAGGAATTTAATGAACAGGTAATACTGCGGCTAACATTGTCAGTTAGAGGTATGATGTAATCAGAAATGAGGTCATAAAAGAAACAGTTGGCACAGAACCAGTTCTAAATTACACGCACAGACAGCAAATCAGATTTTGACGCAAGGCTTACACCAAAATAGTAGAAGGACGTAGAGCAGTGATTCCCAAACTATGCGCCCCGGGAAGCCGCGAACTCTTCGCAGGGATGCCGCGGAATATTGTAAAAGCTTCATAATTAATTTAACCAAGACACGAATAGTCATACTTTTACTAAGGTTAGGGCGCCGCAGAAAAATTTTAATTGAAAAAAGTCGCAGCATCCAACAAAAGTTTGGGAAACACTGACGTAGAGGAAAATCTAGATCAAGAACCAGATGAAAAGATGACATCAGAAAAACTCTAGAATAGCATGATGTGTCAGTTGTCGAGGCGGCAAGAAAATCCAGTAGCAGAACTTTTATATGTCCCTCGGCACCCAAAATGGTAAAAGAGAAAGTGAAGAAGTTAGAAGTATAATTATTTGATTATGAAGCTCAAACAAACAGATTATAAAACTTTTTTTTTTTAAAAGAGTTACAAATTGGGCACATTCCATCTTGCATTCAACCCTTTCCAACCACTCATCTTTTACCCAGCAATTTTTTAAAATTTATTTATAATACATGTAGTTCATCGGAAGCAGACGTCTAGCCAGTTATGTCACTACCTGAAAAAAGGTGAAAACTCTCAGCTACCCTGCAGCAGAGGTTTCTTTTTTCCCTTTCTGAAATGTAAATAAGATTGGTTGAGTTCCTGCAGTAAAAATCTGCCCCAAATCCCATTCCACACCTTGAGGTATATTAGCATATGATGATAGCCTGTATGTTTTTTTTTTTTCATTTCTTTTTTCTTTTTTAAACCTCACAATTGCTGTGACTGGTCTCCATCATGACAGTTCCCATCTCTAGGATCTACAAAAGATTCTATGGTTCTTTCCATTAGTGATGAAACCTCCTTTCCAAACCCATGCTGTGTTTTAACATGAAAAATTAGGTAAAAAAAAAATAAAATCTTTTTCCAAGCCTTTAGGAATAAATAAGTAAATGGTACGAGGTAATAGTCACATATTTTTTGTATAGAAATTTGGGACCCATTGTGATCTGTATAAGCTACTTGCCTTTACTTCCTCTAATATTTCATGACAATGCATTTTTAGACTTAAAGAGTTCACATCAGTTTTTACACATTAGGGCACATAACCACCAAGCTGCCAGGCAATTATGTTAGCTACTGAACTAGTTGGACTCTAACATGGTCTTTCTTCTTCTTCTCCTCCTCCTTCTTCCTTTTCTTCTCCCTCTTCTTCCTTCTCCTCTTCCTCTTCTTCATCCTCTTTCTCTCATCCTCCTCTTTACCCTTCCTCCTCCTCCTCCTTCTTCTTCTCCTCCTCCTTCTTCTTCTTCTTCTTCTTCTTCTTCTTCTTCTTCTTCTTCTTCTTCTTCTTCTTCTTCTCTTCTTCTTCTTCTTCTTTTTCTTCTTCTATTTCATCTTCTTCTTCAGCATTCCAAGCCTTTAAGGGTCCTTCCTTGCTGCAGATATAATGCAGCATTGATACATCCAGCATGATATATTATATAATTAACTCATTTTTCATGTACAAGAAGCATCAGACATATGGTGCTAAATCCAGACATATGGTGCTAAATCCATATTTTTTATAGACCAAGATGGTTGTTGTGGTAAACAGTTTTATAAATGCCATTTGGTTCACAAGAAAACCCCTGACGAATGCTAGTTTGAATATAAATATATCCAGGCCTAGTAAAACTGCACAGGCGTGAACAGAACCAATAACATTACACTGCACTTCTCTGAAACAGGTTCCTTCAAGACATCTAGTTTCAGTCCATTTACTGGAATATGATGATGGAAACTCAACTCAGAGAAACTCTACAGCACCACGATGTGTCTATGGTCGAAGCAGCCAGAAGAGCATGAAGCAGGACCTTATATCTTTCTCGACACCCAAAGCTGTAAAAGACAACATAAAGAAGAAGAAGATGATGAAAAAGTCATGTTCGAGGCTTCCCAGGGGGTGTGATAAAGATAAAGAAGAAAAACATAAGTACATAAGATTACAGAAAAACATGTTTTCTTAAAACGTGTAATGTTTTCTCTGTTCTTATGTAAGTTATAATTTTTTTCCTAGGTGGTTACCCCAACACCATCAAGTGCTGCTCCAGAGGTATGTCTTTTCATTGCAGCTTAGATCCATGACACTGAGACCATTCACTTTTATAAAACTCATCAGTTTTTGATTAAAAAAAAATCTCCTTCAACCAGCATCTTTTGATTAGCATCTTTAGGTTATAATTGTGACTTAGATTATTTGCTTCATAAAAAATGGCTTAGCACTGCTCACCACCATGTAGCCCTGAAAGGACTCTTATAGTGTTTATGTGATCAAAGAAAACAGACCCAAATACTTTTTCGGCGGTGACAAAATCGTTTACCTGCCAGCCATTGGTTGACCCGGTCACCGATGTATAAACTCAGAATTTCAAATGTATTATCTGGCACAGGTGTTGAATTAGTAACTTTTTAAGGCAAAAGTAATTAAACTAGTAACTATCTGGGATATAAAGTGATAGTAAATTAGTAACTCTGGGACATAAAGTGATGATGAATTAGTTACTCGGGGACATAATAATAAGTTAGTTACTATCTGGAATGTAAGAAGTTAATTACTTAGTATTTATTATCTAGGACACAAGTTGAATTAGTGACTTTTTGAGACAAGAGTAATGAAATTAGTAGCTGTCTGGAAAAGACCTCTGTGTTTTGCTGTTTATCTCTCCATCGTTTTCACATCATTTGTGTGTAAAACAGAATTTTAGCAGACATGACATAATAAAACGAAGAGAGTTTTGAGTAAAGATAAAGTCGGGAGATATGAACCAGCTTCATTGCACACGGTTATAAACCATAATTGCTGTGCCACCAGTACGGACAGCTGATAAGAAACTGTCCGCCAGTGTCGCTGTCTGCACGCAACTCCGTAGCTACAGCGACGTGCCTCCATTTACCCCAGAGCGTTAACTCTGGTACCCATTACCTAGAGGCTGGTTGAACCTCGGGAACTGCCTGGTTTCGAACACCGACCGTGGGTTGCAGCGAGTCACGACTGGATTTGAAAGCGAGCCTCCTATCGACACCGCCAACGCGATCCCTCAGTTTTGAGTAACATGATCATGTATGTAGAATGGTGATGGGGGAGTAAAGTTTTTGGGAAATGAGGCAGAATCAGTCCTCCACAAAGCTGGATACAAGACATGGAAGACGCATTAGCTGTGAAAGCACATAGGGCTGGAGAACTGGCTAGAGAAGAAGAGACTTTCAGGCGTGCTGTGACGAGAGCGACATTCTGTAAAAGACTTGCTGATTGATGTTGATGATGGAGAAAGACTTCGGTATCATGTTTGTAATGTGATTATATTTTTAGCAACAGTGATGCTGAAAATGAGGGTGATGGCTGTTGAGATGATATCAGGAAGCAACTTAGCACAAACACAATGACTAGAAAGCACAGTGGTGGGAGAAGGAAAAAAACATGCACGAAGATAAATGCATATTCAGCCATCGTTTTTACAGACAGAGCAAAACAAAAAGAATTATTAGCAATTAGGAAGGTCCAAAAAATCAGGGCAAAAAAGATAGAATATGTGTCGGAAAAACTGTTTTGAAATAACTGTAGTTAGCAGCAGTGAAAAATTTGTGTGTCTGCTTTGTGGCAGCTGATATGCATATTCGGCTCTCCTTTAAATAACGGTCGCTAGCTGTAAGGCGACGGCCGCTTAGTTGGAGTTCAGTCCCCTGGCTGCAGTGCAATTACGGAGTGGAAAAGAGGGAACGAAACAAATGAAAAAGAGGGAACGCAACAAAGGACATACTTACCTGTCATGCTAGGGTTAGGCTTAGGTTTTAGCTTAGGGTTTGGGTTTGGGGTAAGGTTCGGGGTAGGGTTAGGGTTAGTGTTGGGGTTAGTGTTGGGGGTAGGGTTAGGGTTGACCTCACTTTGTTTTTTGATTTGTGACTTGTCCACTCTGTATTTGCACTGCAGCCAGGGGAGTGAACTCCGACTAAGCAGCCGTCGACGTCCAACTAGCGACCGTTATTTAAAGGAGAACCCATATTCTCAAGCATATTCTCCTTACATTACGTGTCCGTTTTTCTTCTACTTCTTCTCATCTTCCCCCCATCCACAATGCAGCATAGGCACTCAGTCCACACACATTGTGTCATTCTAGCCTGTGTTATTGCATGCAGCTCGCCCAATGTCTTTTTATCTCCACACTCATTATTCTAGTATAAGAACCTTCCCTCATCTGGGTTGGCTGGATATTACTTGTTTCCCTTGTTGACTTTTTTTAATGGTTGGTTGGTTTTTTGTTGCTATGATATGTTGTTATTTTTTTTTAAAAACAGTATGAGGTAGTTGCTTAGTTTGACTGGGTATTACTTGTTTCCCTTGTTGACTTTTTAAAATGGTTGGTTTTTTGTTGCTATTTTTTTTTTTTTTTTTAAAACAGTATGAGGTAGTTGTTTAGTTTGACTGGGTATTACTTGTTTCCCTTGTTGACTTTTTTTAATGGTTGGTTGGTTTTTGTTGCTATTTTAAATTTTTTTAAAAACAGTATGAGGTAGTTGCTTAGTTTGGCGTTAGTCTCCCCAGACCCAGCCCATATACACACAAGCTCACTTCTGATTAGTAGTTTCTGAGCCCTGTGACCTTTGCACACGGTCATAGGGGTGTTCCACAATGCTGTTGAAATCGTGTGTATATTTCAGCATACCAACACTTTTAACACTCCAAAAACTGGAGAAACTGGATCTAACAGTACCGCCCTATAGAGTGTTGCAACCTCTGTCACAGGCATTCTCTTTCTCAGAATGAAAACGTAAATGCAAGACATCACAGAAACCAAACAACAGCGCGGGACACACCAGTAACCTTCAGGAAAGTCAACCAGCCCAACAAACTTGTGAATGAAAAGCGACCTGCTATATTTGTGGAGACTTAACGTCAAACTAACCGAGGTAGTCAACTCCAGGCCCAACCCAACCTTTACATGCCTGGTAGGGTACAGTATTTTAATTCTGTGCTTCCCATGATGGCCTCGTAACACATGAGTGTTTCCCATTTATAGAAAAGATTAAATACTGTAAACCTTTTTTTTTTCCCCTGTGCTTTTGCAGGAGGATGAGAAGCAGCAGCGATTACGTGAGCAGGCCAAGAAGCTGATAGCTGAGGTCAGGCAGAGTGAGAAGATCCCAGAGCACCCGATAGTCAGGCAGTTGAGTAGTGGAGCTGGAACTAAACCTATAGGTAGGAATGAGGGAGTATTGAAACTTCAGTGTACTGTAAGCTGGTATTTGGTGTTAAGGTAGCACTGATGGTACCTGAGATGGCATCTTTTAGCGTATTATGTGCTGTAGTTAATTTTTTGTTCAATGTTTGCTTACTTGGAGAATCTTTCTCATGAAGATGATGATGAGTCCATCTGCTTGTTGTTGTCATAATTGTTTCTTAGTGATTAGTCTACTGTCAAGTATATTTACAGATGTTTATCCTATATAAAAAGCATCTCAGAGCTTTACTTTTGAGTAGATTAGTCTGTAGAACTTCTTTGCTTCTTGTAACTTTTACTGCATTATGTGTATACTTTTGTTTCAGTTTATTTTTTTTTCCAGTAATAACAGCACAGTCATTTACATCTAAAAATATTAACCCTGTTGTCCCAACAATGATAAATCTAGTAACTTTCATTTGTGACACAGCCCAGAAAATACTGATATGCCGCCAATCTGCAGTGACCTTTTCTATAAAAAAATGCCATTGGTTCTTTGTGCGCCTGAGTAGGGGTTAGTAAGCCCAGATGTGAGTATATTTACTGAATTATAGAATATACAGGTGGCCAAAGAAGAATAGTAAACCAACACAGAACTGGTGTTATTAGTCGCCACATGCTGAAGGATATACTGAAGATAGGATCTGAGCACTTAAGGTCTAGCCTGTTCTGCAGTGAGGATAATCTTTCGATTAACTAACTGACTAACTTAATATAGAATTTAGAGGGGTTTCCTTGTAAATCCAATAGATTTGTAAAAGTCAGGTTGACTTAAAATTGTTTCCATAAGCCTCAGTGATAGAGTTTATGGGGTTACGGCATGTGTCACCAGATACATAGTTTTAGGCCCCACAGATGCATTCCATGTGATGTTTCACTTTGTACTTTTTTATTGATTACTTCCTTCATGTAACTGTATATATATAATAAAAAAAAAAAAAAATAGGTAAATAAACTTTGTAAACAATTATTAACCTTTTTTAATTTTGTAGTTTTAAAAGACATTTTCCCCACCCCCCCCCCCCCAAATTCCTCACAAGTTAGTGACTCTTCGGCCCCCCCCCCCCCCCCCCCCACACGCACACACACAGACACATTCTTGGGACCAAAGGTTATAAAGCATAGCCCCATTAAAAATAAATAATAAAAATATTGGCTCTACTTTGAACGGCGCCTTAAAATGGCGGTCGTAATATGATGCCGTTCGAAAGAGAGCTAAATTGGTCCACATTCTGGCCATAAAATATCCAAAAATATCCGAATGCGGCTCAGTTCTATAAAAAATATATGTGCCGGCTCCGTATAATGAAACAAATGCTCTAACAGGGTCTCGGCGATATGTTACTTGCGGACCTGCTTCTGCGAGTGTGCCTCACCGCCGACCGTAGCCCCCAATCCGCTACGAGCGGCGCGGATGGAAACTAAACTAAATGGCTGGGACTCATGAGCAGCAGCTACCACATCTCCTGCAACTTCCTCCAGTTACTTTACTCGTGAGTCCCAGGCACCTAGTTTAGCCCCCCCCCCCCCATCTGTGCCGCGCGTAGCGGCGCGGGGGATGCGCTCGGCGATGCCGACAAGTCTACCACTGCTAAATCCTCCCACCGGAAGAACACAGTATTGCTAATCGACTTTCATCGTCTGTAATGTCTCGAAATTGGTCAACGGTCGCTAATATCGTCTGCTAGTATCGTCGTCTGCAGAAACGCTCGAAATTGTCCAACGGTCTGTATTTATCGTCTGCTACTACCATGTGCAATGTTGATATTGATTAACAAGTAATCCTAGTTTTGCCGCGATTTGTCCCTTGGCAGAAATTCTGTATTTTAGATATGCCTGAACACCGTTCGGATATTTTTGGATATTTTATGGCCAGAATGTGGCATCATATTACGGCCACCATTTTAAGGCGCCGTTCAAAGTAGAGCCAAAATATCTTCCCTCATGAGCATTTGAACCCAAAACCTTTATTTTGTGTTTTGCCACTGCACACTACTATGGCTCATAACTTTAACCTGTTGTTGGGAAAAGAGCAAGTGTAAGACAAGGAAATATATACCTGAATGACTCAACTGAATAACATGATTGGAGCCAAACAGTAGACCTAACCCAAGATTAAGTGAGATGGCAAGTCTAGTCGCTCAAGTTTGATCAGAGTGTCATTTGATGTCCTAAGTTTTATGGTATGCTCTTTTTGCTATAACTACTGTGATTTCTCCTTCACCAGTGTAAGTTTTTTCTTCAAATTTGGGTTTCTGACTTATAATGATTCAGAAATGAGTTTCTGACTGAACGTCTTTTATGTATGAGTTTTTGTCTGAACATCTTTCTTATCTGAGTTTCTGTCTGAACATCTTTCTTATCTGAGTTTCTGATGACTGAACATCTTTCATATGTGAGTTTCTGTCTAAACATCTTTCTTATATGATTATGACTGAACATCTTTTACCTGTGAGTTTTTGTCTGGGCATCTTTCTTATAATACTTTCTGTCTGAATATCTTTCTTATATGAGTTTCTATCTGAACGCCTAACATATATGAGTTTCTGTCTAAACATCTTTCTTATATGAGTTTCTGTCTGAACGTCTTTCATGGATCAGTATCTGATGACTGAACATCTTTCAAATATGAGTTTCTGTCCAGACATCTTTCATATATGAGTTTCTGTCTGAACATCTTCCATATATGAGTTTCTGTCTGAACATATTTCATATATGAGTATCTGAAAGTCTTCCATATATAAGTTTCTGTCTGAACATCTTTCTTTTATGAGTTTATGTCTGAACACCTTCCATGTATCAATTTCTGTCTTTTTCTGTCTGAACATCATTAATACATGAGTTACTGTCTGAATATCTTTCATATGTGAGTCTCTGTCTGAATTTCTTTCATATTTGAGTTTCTGTGTGAACATTATTTATATATGAGTTTATGTCTGAACATCTTTCATGTATGAGTTTTGTCTGAACATCTTTAAAATATGATCTGGGCAAACCTGAAAAGCAACAATCAAAGGTTAAGGAAGAAATTAGCTGATGCATAAGTGTTTGACGGATCACTATTGCTTCCATATACAGTGTAGTGTTATCCCGGCTAATTTTGGAGACTGTTTGCTGAGAAACTAGCTAGCACATACTTGGCTAGAAGCATATATGGTTTTACAAAGCACATATCACTTTTGCTGAATGCACACATACCAGAGCACATCTACTAACTGTAATGTTAACACACTCAATGAAAGGCTAGCTTCCTGTGTGCTGCAAACTTGAGCTAAACTAATAGTAGCCGCATGAAGTTTAAAAGCACACCATGCAATGTTTTCATGTGTGCTTGTATTGAACATTGGTTATTTAGTGATGCTGTCGTAGATTTCTTGTTGTAGAATCTAATGTGTGCTTAACATTGGTAGTTGAACATGAAAATATACTATCATAGATTTTTAGTTGTAGAATCTAACTTATGCTTGTATTGAATATTGGTAGTTGAACATGAAGATATACTATCATAGATTTCTTGTTGTAGACTCTAACGTATGCTTGTATTGAACATTGGTAGTTGAACATGAATATATACTATTATAGATTTCAATGTTGAAGGATAGAACGACTTGCCGTGAGTTGGTTGAGGGCCTATGCTCTATTGGGGGACAGAAAGGCAGAAGAAGAAGAAGAAGAAGAAGATTTCTTGTTGTAGAATTTAATGTATGCTTGGGTTGAACATATAGTTATTCTGTCATAGATTTCTTGTTGCAGAATCTAATTTATCCTTGTATTAATTAATTATGTAGTTATACTATCACAGATTTCCTATTGGAGAAACTAAAGTGTACTTGTAATGAACCTTGATTACGGTAGTTATGCTGTCTAAGATTTCTTTTCTTAAGTTCTTAAGAGTGTTTGTTGTAAGGAAATAAGCAGGCTGTCCCAAACTTGTATTGCCGTGGTCTGAGATATACAAAGTAAATTAATTGACTGCCTTCAGCTCATGATGCTGTGACCCAGGATCTACAGAGGTCTAACATTTCACACCATCATAGCTGTGTGTGCCATAGGATAACCATTAACCTGATGTCACTAATGATGTAGTTGGGATGTCATTTGAATGTGTGTACTTTGTACTTTTAAGTTATTATAGGTACATTGAGGCATTATTAGAAATCTCACAGGGCAACAAAGAGTGGTATATGTGGGTGTGTGTGTATGCATGTGCACATATGCTTATGTGTATGTTTGCCCATTTGCAGAAAAACACGGGGAGGGGGTTCCTTAGCCATGCAGCCATACATGTTTTTCTAGGCAAAAAAAGTTGGAGGGTAGGTGTTAAGTTGCCTAATCCTAGTTTAATAACATAATAATTATGATGATGATGATTATGATGATGATAACAATATAATATATTTTAAAAAAATATATAAAATGTATATCTGCTTCTTCGTGTTCACTGGCTGTAAACTCCAGCGGATTGTCCTAGTTGTTGGTCCACTTCTGGACTCTGAATAATAAACTACTTTTAAATGGACTTTCTAAGCATGGTTAAAATGTGACTGACTGCTAACAAAATTATTGGGAAGAAAATTGGGGGAAGGGGGAGGGGGCTCAGGCTATGTTATAGTCTTTGATGATATACATGTGTATAGAGACACAGTGAGTGAGAGAGAGAGAGAAAGACAGGAGGATTAAGAGAGAGTGATTCAGGATTGGGGGTTGGGGGCACATATAAATTTGGTTTCATTGTGAATATGTGCATCAGATTTTCATTACATGTGAATGAAGGAAACAACAGTGACAGAACTTCTGTAGTCTGTACAGTATTGTTGCTTTCTTGCACCAGTTGTAATTGTGCTTCATGTGTTGTGTATCTTTGTTTCTCCTGTGACATGGCAGTCACTCTCAGCACCCTGAAAGTTTGCAGAAACTTGAGAACCATCCGAGGTAGGTGTCTGGCCATTCCAGGCAACTCCTACACACACTGTACCAACTTAAAGTTTGATGTTTTATCGCTAACCCCCTTTCAGCTTTAGCCAAACCTCTTGTTTGCATAATACACATAAATTACTGGGGAGCCTTGTGGCCATTAAAATAGCATGATAAGCAAATTCTAAGACAATGATTGGCACTCGTAAATGCAGAAGAAAGAAGTAGAGACAGGGCCTGTTATCTAGTGTGTCCTCCTAATTCACCAGGGGGCTGCGTGGTCTCGAGGCATGCTGTCCACTTCGAGAGATAGAGGTTCTGGGTTCAGTCCCCGGTAAGGGCTGAGATTTTTTCACATGGACTTGTACTTCTAGTAATCCCTCCTGATCTCTGGGTAGTGAGATCGGACTCCCGTGTGTATTGTTGCACACGTAAAAAAATCCCTTGGCAGTTGGAAATCGAAAAATGTATCCTAACGGTGCTGCCCGGGCAAAATTTGGAGTTGAAAATCTACTTAAAGTATTTCAGGATCCTCGCCATTGCTACAGAGCCTGTGCACTGTGCTGAGCTTCTTTGGACTCGGACTTGAGTAAGAAGAAGAACGGAGCACTTATGGGTTACTTCCCGTGTGCCATGATGTTGTTCCGTTTCTTCAAACTTCACCTAATTCACCATGGAGTGACTAGAGGATAGCTGGCTGACACTTTGCACCCCCGAGGAAAGGCAAGGCAAACTACTACTGGTACCATCAGAATTGGAACTCTTCTCCGGCTTATGAAGATAGGGACGGAGGTCTTGAGAGAATTTCTGTAATGTTGATTCTGAACTAATTGCAAAGTAATTGCAACTCTGCATCTATGAGAGTCAGTCAGTGCATTACAGTTTGTTTATCATACCCTTGTTTGCATGCATTTTTATTCACTACTGCATGGTTTTGAAATTGCATGTTGAATGCTAACGCTTTTTTCTGCACGGGTCTCATGACTGAAAATTATTGTTTGCTGAAGAGGTTTGTGCATGGAATAATGCAAGCTGCTTATAATTGCATGCTGCTGTGTGTCTTCCTTTGTTGACCTATTTATCATTTGTTTTCATTGTTTGTTATTATGCAAATTCTGTGGGATGTAGACTTGTCTGGCAAGGTGAGGAAGAAAGGAACTGGCTGCTTCACCTCATGGTGTGGCAAAGAATGTTAACCCCCCTCCCCTTCTTGTACCATTTTCTGCCAGATATATTTGCAGTAGTTAAGTGAAGTAATTAAGAAAACCAAGTAAAGCATAGAGTTGTAATTATTAATTGCTTTCTTCTTCTTGGGTTCACTTTCTGATTTACACAGACAAGTTCTTGTGATAAACTTGACAGTTTTTAGGAGTTTTCTTTCACTTGATACAACTTTGAGTGCAGATTAATTGCCTCTATCCCAAGACACCTATCCTAAAGTTAGGTACGTGTACAGAACACTACACTGCCATGTGGCACTTCTGGTTGATTTCTCCATTTCCTAATTACACATGTGTATTATATTTTTTTAAAGTCATGTTGAAGTTGATAGGATTGACTTCTTTGGAGTGGGTTTGATCCCATACAGCCCAGCCTTTCTGTGCAAAATGGCTAGCTGCCTTCAAGAGTGTCAGACAAAGCAATAAAATCATAGCTGTTGTGGTGGTCCCCATGGGTGCTCTGTAAATATTACACTAAGGAACTGAATGCTACAGCTGTGAAATGAACCCATAACCTTCTAGGCACGAGGCAGATGGTTTGATGACTTCATCGTGGAGACCCCTTAAGTATTCTTTTCTTTTATTTATTAGGGGCTGATTGTATACAGGTTCATGATGAACAACCAGTGTTTGACAGTAATTTTTTTTTAAAGTTCAGTATTATTTAACATAGTCTGTTGTTGCAGTGACACTATGTGAATGTACATAAATAACACGTATAGTTCTCCGTCTGGGTTCCAGGGCTTCATTTTGGAGATCAAAGAATAGACCCACTGTTCCCTTAACAAGCATGTCATAGGAGGCGACTGATTAGGGTGTTTCCTTCAAAGTGCTGCCTTC